CGTCAAATCCGAGAAATTGAGCAACACATTCAGTGGCAAAAACGTCAAATCTGAGAAAGCCGATAAACACTGAATTTGAGACCTGAAACCTACAAGCGAGTGCAATAACTAGAGGCAAATGCTTAAATTCATCACCTTCACCGATGAAATTTGAACTGTCTGCTATTAAAAAGTTTTTGTCACCATAATTGGGCAGTGGCAGCCACTCTCGCACCCTTGCTGTTGTGGTTACTTTACTGTATCCACAATTCAGATCAACGAGCAAGTTTCCTTGGCAAAAAATAGAGTGACAAACGAGGCCACAAATCAGAGCCGAGCTCCAAACCTTTTTCTGACATAAAACAAACCATCTTTCTCAGTAGCAGCCATCGAACCCAGTCGTTGAAATGGTATGCTAGATCCTCATTTTTAGCAAAGTGGAGGAAACTGACCTTTCTGACGACAGTATCCTCATTCTGGACCGTCTTCTTCTGTTGACGCTCGGCATTCATCTGCGTTAAGGCCGTCTCCAACGGACCAAAGGGCTTTGGCAGATAATTACACTGGGTGAAGAACTTGCTCCACTCGCTGATGTAGGCTTTCAGTAGCGTGGTGTCTTCCTGGTCATGTAACACCCTCTGCAGACACAAAGCAAGCAATACATAGCGCAAATGAGCTCCTGCTCCTTGCTTGTAATGTCAGAAATACCAATATTGGGGCTAGAAAGGAGTCTTCCATTAACGATGGGAAATAAACCATTAACAATGGGAAGCAATCAATTCTGAGGTATTTTCAAGCAAATCCAGAATTAGTATCTCCTTTCGCTCCTCCTTTTTTTTCTTGTTGAGTTCCCTTTTCTGGGGGAAGGGTGGAGGGGATAGCCTATGTACTTACTGATTTAGCTTGTTGTACAAACTCTCGGATGTCATCTAATAGGGCCAAGTGGACTTTGTAAGCACCCTTCTCGTCCCATAGACACACTGTGTGGACGTCCCTAAAGTTCACATTGAAATCACACAAAACTGATAATCAGCAGCTTTATTGGCAATGGCGCGACAGGTGTATGTACTTGCAAATGTCTTCCACGTTACACATAATTACCATTTTACCCCAAAAAATTACTTTAAGTATGTGTAGATTCTCTTAATATTTCTATGACAGACTCAAAGGCTCCAGGGAAAAAATGAGAAAATCTGAACCCCCCCCCATGGAAATGCTCTGTTATACCAAAGTGTCGGTAATTATGACTACACTGTACAGTATTTCAGATGGGGAGTGGTACAAGCAACTATATGGAAAAAAGATCTTGAGAAGTATGCTGAAATTATCAACCAACATCACATCACCATCTTCATGAACCAACACACAAATTAAGCGCCATAACTGATGTTTAGATCTGAAAAACAGGATGCACTTTTTGAAAACAGCACACTGTATAATTCTGGGTTCATGAACTGACACAAAGATTTGCTTGCGCCACACTGGAGAGTCAGTTAAATATTTTACTTTGCATAAATTAACACACAAGCGTTTTGTGGATGTACACAGTTACAACTCAGGAGCACAATGATATAAAAGGTACATGTATGACAAGAATTTAGTCAGCGTACTTGTGGAATGTTAGCACTGAACGAAAAACACTTCCAACTTCGGAAACAGAAAAGCTTTCAATTGCTGAAGACAAAACTTCCACAAGCACACATCAGCCAGGGAAAAACGAAATTAGTGGCAGTGTAAGCTCTTCGTAGGTGATAGGCAAACAAGTACTACTTTGTGTCAGCTTGTGACGCCGGTGATGTCAGTGGTGGGAACTCGACTGATCGTTTATCCTCTCTCTGTGACTGTGTTATTTTTTGTTTGTTCTGTCATGTGTGGGATGGCTTGCTTCCAAGCAACAGTAACTTAGTTTACTTTTGTTGTCCCTGACCCGCATAGTACATGTATAAATTTTGTTTTGTCTTGTCTGTTATGTTTCTCACATCTGTATGCTCCCTTCAAGCACAGAGTTCCTTTTTTTTCATATCTCTTCTGTTTTCGCGCTCGCCTGGATGCCCTCATTTCATCTATTCCATGCAAAATTGTTTGTACTTTTGTGTCTTTGCCAATTTTGTTCTTCCCTTAATTTGTGGGCTTTTGTTATTGTTGTAATTTGCTATTGTTTAGTGTTTTATTTAGTTGAATTGAATAAATAGTGATAACAATTATAACAAAGGAGAGTGTTTACCAGAAGAGATCCTGCCATTCTGGTCTGCTGACATTCTCCTGCCTCAACAGTTTCAGAACGGTTGGACGCATGCCTTCCCACTTGTCCTCAAACTGTAACTGGTTCTTGTCCTACAGAGAAGTAACAACCCCAAAGCACTTTCCTCTTAAAATTTGACGTTTAACTTGAAACTAATATTACCATAGAATGTGCACATAAAGTGTTTGTGACAAGAAACTTTACAAAAAAAAGGTTGTTAAATTTTGTCAGCATTTAAATATTTTCAACAAACTATTTAAACAAAATGGCTATAGTTAACCGTAAACCGACTTCAGAATTCTATAGGCCTAGTTACAGTAGTGTGCATTTATCATTGGTAATCTATAAGGTTTTAATTTCCTGTCACAATCATGGCACTGCGATGCTGCAGTCAGTACGCACACTTTTGTGTAAGTACTATATGGAGAATTGAGCCCCACTCCTGAACAGGATTTTTTCCTATTTTTTCACCTTCTTCGTTTTCTTCAATTTCTCAATAAGATCACATTTACTTTCTATAAAAAATTGTCTTTTCCTTTTTGGTGAAGTCATAGGCCTAACCCTGGAGGACTTTTTTCTAAGGAAAATAAAGTCTGAGATTCATTCGTTGTAAACCGGCATGACTGGTCTGGTTCCTGTTTCCAATACATGTAGGACCTAACGTTAGGCTTAGTATAAAATCATGTATGTTATTTTTGTTACACGTGACATGTTTACAGGCCTATTAATATATTATAACAATCACTTCAAACAAACATGACAAATCACAGTAAAAATACATACCTTAAGCATTGCACTCGACGCCATTATCACATCTGCTCTGTTTCAAATTTCTTGCAAACTAACCTTCAAGGATTAAAAGTTACCACACCATACACACTTAAGTGACTACCTACAAAATCAATTCGGAGGCAAACATCAGTACACATTCATTCGTTGTCGTTGCGTACAACGTATAATCAACGCCTGCGTGATTCATGCACACAAACTCCTCTTTCCTTGTAGGTATGGTCTCCAGATACGCAGATCGTCATACCTAGTATTTATTAGGAAGTTGGAAACAGAAGGGAGGGTAACCAGACTATAATCTGGCCTTCGCCTTTGATGTTTGATGTCATCAAAGCAAGGTCATTTGAATGACCTCGTTTTAACATCTATGGGCGCAAAACAATAAACATCACGATTTTTAGATAGCCAGCTACATTGAATCTTAACTGCTCGAAAGGTAGCTCATCCATCATATTGATAAATATTGGGAATGGGTGTCATTCATGATAAGAAAAAAATACGCAATTTTAACTGTAGTTTTATTATGTTTATTAACCTGGGCATAATTCCAGCGCCTTCCTTAAATCTAAAGGAGGATCCGGCCCTCAAATTAATTTCTATTCAATATTTACTTCTATTAATTTAAATGCCTTCTACGATATTAACTGTTGCAAATTATTCTCATCATTCGAATTTCGGGAACTTATTTTGAGGTCGAAAATTCTCACATCTCAATTAATATCGACCACGGAGCTGGGCTTAGCAAGACCACCCTCTGAAATGACGGGGTCCCGCCCATCCTAAACCTCGCCCAGTTTAATTTGTGATGATTTATGTATGGAGCCGGCCGGGGACTGGTTAGCAAGTTTACTGACAACGCGACGGCATGTATGATGGCGCTCGCCAGTGAGGAGGACAGCAAGTCCGCGAAGAAGATGAAATCCACTTCCCATTCAGGAATTCCTGAAGCAGTATTCCTGGTTCGTAGACATGAACATTCTCCTTATTTTAGAGCAGACTGAGGGGGGTCTTTCAGCGACCACTGCCTTTTTGTCTTTGATATTCAGTTATTTTTTATGGGTTGAAAATGCGTGACCAAGGAAAAGGCGAGGATAGTCTGGTGACTCTGCTCGCAAGTGTGCATGTTGGTGTTGAAAGTGATAGGTACACTTTCAATTTCAGGGATTTGTAAATGTCAGTAAAAAATTTTCAACTGTCAGGACTGTTATAAGTATGGAATGTGCTATGATTTGGTAATATGTGCTATTGGTTCGTTTCATTAAAAGTATAGCAGCATTTCTTATTATAATTTACTAATGTTTAAGATGGATATTATTATGTAGCGTACATGGCCTAGTCTTTGTTTCTCCAATTTACCTACAATTCATTAATCAGTGGCAGTGTTTAACTTAAACTGGCTAGCACATTTATGAATTTCTTTATTTCACATGGAAAAAAGATGTAAAGTCTTTTTAAATTTTTTTTTTATCATTTTGTAATTGTTTTCAGGGTAAGTGGACAGAAGTTATTTTAAAAAATGTATTGCACTTATTTGGTCACCTGCAGGAGGATGTTGATGCCTTCATGCAAAAGCCAGAGAATGCAGACCCAACGGCAGTGGTCCAGCGTTTAGATGAGCAACACAACAAGTACAAGTTCATGGAGCTTAATCTACTTCAGAAGAAAAAGAGGTGCGAAACTAGATGGAGTCACTTAAAACTTGTTAATTTAAGCTTTCCCCTTTTAGTCTGAACACTGAGTATGAAAATGATATATTTGTCCTTTTGAATGTCATCAATTTTTTTCCCAGGTGCTCTGTGTAGATGATACCCAGAGATTTTACATACACCCCGGGCGGTTAGGGTTAACAGTGGTAAAATATGATAGGCAAATGCTGCAATTGGTTTTAAAATTTTAAAAAATTGTCCAAAAATATGATAATGCATACTCGGATACAAGAATTCATTTTCTGCATAGAAAAGAAAGAAATAAAAGAAAGCACACGTGACTTTTACAAGGCCTCTTTGGCTTTTTGCCAATGCAAATTTGAATTCATGCTTGCAGCAAGCGACGCTTCGTCACAGATAAATGAGCAGGGATAGGCAATCAGAGAATTTAGGATTACTAGGGCTATCCCTAAACAGTCCCTAACAATCCCAAATCCTCTGCTTTCAATACGATTTTACATACATCCTGGGGGTTAGGGTTAAGGTTATCGATTCAAACAGGAAACCCCTAGAATGGCAAGCTACATTTAGTAACATTACAAGAGCAGGCCTTCATTTGCTGGGAAAAGTATGGAAAATATTAATGGTTCCAAACTTTGTTTATTTTTCAGTACGACTAACTAAACAGTGGCTTCAAACAGTGTCGTTACATCTGAAGAGAGTAGAAAGTTACACAAATCATTTAAATAATGGGTTTTACCCCTATACCCAATGTATATATTGATAAACACTGTATGCTCAGTGATTGTCCGAGAGCTTGCGAAAAAATTCACAAGCTTACTCAGGTGGGACTCGAACCCACAACCTCCTGCTTGCTAGTGCAGACGTCTTAACCACTCAACCACCGGGCTTGCCAGGGTCGGTTGGCCAGTCCGAGTTAGGTGAAGCAGCGGTTACCGCGAACTATTTTCAAGATGTATTTTTACTTTGGGGAGATGTTAATTTTTTCGCAAGCTCTCGGACAAGCACTGAACATACAATGTTTATCAAAACCCGTTATATCAATTAACATCTCCCCAATGCAAAAATACATCTTGAAAATTGCACAAATCATGTTCTGAAGTGAAATTAATGTCAGGGACCACTTAAACTCTGCATTACAGTCGTGATTTCATTTTTGCTGCTGGTATTAGGTTGAGGTCCCAGATCCCAGACATCAAAAATACACTGGAGATAGTCCAACACATGCGAAGTAAACAGGTGGGCTTGACCGACATTTTCCTTGTACACGTTTCTCTGTTCTGAAGTACGTGTATATCCATATGTACCAGCCTTTTAAAGCTTAGTTGCACTTGTGTGAAAATGACTTGAAATGTAGAATATGTGTTCATGTGGTGTATTAGGCATCAAAATGCTTTAACCCCTTCACGGCGAGATTATTTTGGCCGCGACTGCTGGGCTGTGGCATGCCCTGAATGGAGGGGTTTGTCCAGCAGCAGGCCCCATTGAACCAGCAGCTGCATGGTGAATAGAGTGTATGCGTGGTATGCACTAGTCCTCACACAATGTTGCGGTAGTAGCAGTCCCCCGTAGCGAAGGGGTTAATCGCAAGTCCCCAAAAATCGAGAGAAAGGATCTAAAGAGTAGATTTCCAGAAAACGAACACGTCAAATGGCTTTTTATAAGAGTGACCCAAAAAATTTGTCCATGAGCAGTGGACGAAGAAGAGCAATTAATGATCGCGATACTCCGGTGTAACCGAGAATGTTTGTCGTCTGTGACATCAGGGGTCCGGGGAAGAGATGGACACACAGTTTCTATTAGCTGACCAAGTGTACGCCAAGGCGTCCATACCTCCATCTGAGAGAGTGTGCTTGTGGCTAGGGGTGAGTAGTCTTACCAGAGTCTTTCCTGAATCCTTCTCAGCCCTCCAAGAGGCAGAAATCTACTTTTGGGGCAGAGGAATAGAATTTTCGAAGCCTGGGGCTGAAGCTAGTTTCTGAATGGAGATTAGACGTTCATTGATGTCACTGGAGGGATTGGAGTGACTGAAATGAAATGAAGATGAAAATTTCCATTTGAGACTCCATTTGGGAGAAAATTGCCAAGTGAAATTGTTAAGATAAGGAGAAATCCAGGAAATTTCTGGCAGAGAAATTTCAACAATGACTGCAATAAAATGTGGTGACTTGCTAGCAAGGGATAGAAAGATTCTGTCTGAAATGTGAATCTTGCTTTGGGTTTTCGTGCAAAGTGCCAGAAAGCAGCCAAAAAATGCCAGCAATTTGAGGTCAGAAATCCTGAAATATTTTGAGAGATCAGACTTTTTCAGCGATAAAGCCATTCCGTGTACAAAGCAAAGGTCAGTGGAGAGCCGGTACCCACTGGTATCCGTGACTGTCACAGTAATAAAAGTTAAGCTGGATACCTGCACACATTTTCTGTTGTCGGCAAACTTGCACCCTCACACCAGCTTTCTTTCTGCTCCCCACAGGCCAATGTGATGTTAGAATACACCATAGAAGATGCAGAATCCCTATTAACCAGCAACCTGTCAGCGGCCAGGGAGAGCCTCCTGCAAGTAGACACCGACTTGGACTTCCTACGGGATCAGTACACCACCACAGAAGTCAGTATCCTTTGAAACCAGAGGCCCCGTCAAAATCTGCCCCAAACACCTGTTCCTGAGTTTATGGTGTTAGCATGCCGAAAGTTACTCTCAGCAAAAATCAGTTGGGAACCGAGCAGAAGGAATGGACATTGCGTTGGCGTTTCAGCCGGTAACCTGCTCTTCCTGAGCAAATGTTATCTTTGCATGGTTAATTTTGTGTGATCAGTTATACTATGGAATTGACTTCAAGAGGAGAAAAAGATGTGAAATCCTGTCAAGATGTTAATAATAGAGGTTTATCCACAGCTCTATGGCGGTTTCTACAAGTTTGTTAGAAATATGACATTGATAATAAAGCTTGAAATACTTTACCAGATCTCAACAAAATGACATACCACTGCTGTTTGCCAAGTGACGAAGCTATCCATGCTTCAAAATGTGCTCTCTCTTTGACTTTTCTCAAGCGTGTACCCATAAACATCATAAATAAAATGTGTAATTTGTCTGCACCTTGTCTCTTGGTAATGTGAGGATTTCCATTCAATTGAATTCCTGCCATTACTTCTGTTCCTGATTTTGAAGCGATAACCACCAATGTGTTGGAAGGAAGATCCTTTTTTAGCAGTTTTTACGAGCCTAGAAGTCGGCAGGTTTCATAATAGCCTCCGTTTGAGTGGCTTCTTTTGTAATTGATAAACATTTATTCATCAGTAACTGCAATGACAAGGAGAACCCCCCTTAGACACCGAGATTTGGAAAGGTAACAAGCAAACACTGCCCGGAGTTGGTACAAAGCCTTGTGCAACTATAGCACCGGTGTTCCTTAACCTCTCCTCACAGACATGGCTCGCGTATACAACTACGGAGTAAAGAAAAGACAAGGCGCCCAGTCGGCAAGCTAGGTGTACCCTTTTTATCCGACCACTCTACATGTTGGATTGAATGCAGCTTTTCCTATGGAACAATTCTAAACCGTTGAAAGCTCTCTTGAAATATGTATCACAAATTTTTGTGTTGTGCATTGTGAGTGACTTCAAGCTGATTTTTGAAAGGGGCAAAATCACACCGGTTTTATGTTTATCTGAACTGCTGTTCTCCTGTTTTGGTAATGTCAAGTGCATAAATGGGATAGAGCTTATTAGGCAACCTTCACTGGCCAGCGGGTTAAACTCTAACCCTGCCGGTTGCAGCCAAGCAAGGCAGTTGAAAAAGTCTGTTGGGCATTGTTGCGCAGGGGACTAGTTCCATGATAGAACAATGCCACTGCTTGATCCTTTGGGGCTGTCAATAAGCCATTTCCGAGTTAAATTTGAATAAAATCTGGTTCACTGAGCTATCTGATTGCACATAAACATAACGATTTAAATTCCCCAGACTAAAGACACTGTTGCTATACCTCGTGAATTTGGGGCAAGCTTTTGCATAGCGACCACCATCTCTGGAATGGACTGGTTCCTTTGTGCCCTTCTTATCCATTGAAAACAGTGTATTGGTGCAAGGCGTCTCTTATGTAACTAAGCAAAAGCTTGCCCCAAATCACGAGGTATAGCAACAGTGCTTTTAGTATGGAGAATTCAAGTTGTAATGTTCACATGAATTAAAGAACTCAGTGTACCAGATCTGGGTCAAACTTAACTCACAAAAGGCTTATTTGCCTTTGGCAGAGTTGACCCGTCGGATCTTGGTGGACTCTGCGAGGCAAATGACTTTTGAGTAATGATTCAAATTGACGCGTCTGGCAGGGTTTCTGGTCAAGGTACCCGGGAGGTTTAGGGTTAATTACCAAAGGACATTGTACAAAGTCAACATGGTTTGATAGCTGATTTTACTTCCTCAGGTATTGGAAGTTGACAGGACTAGTTCCCAAACCAAGGTAGCCAACATCCAATGCCGAGCGGAGCTAAAATTGACCGTCCACCCAAAATAAACCATTTTTGTTTTGCTATACCTCAGACATTCTCCGTTGCCACTGAAATTTCAGGAGCAAGGGAAAGGCAGTACGTAGGTGTGCCATCATTTGTTGGTGTCCAGCTTGAGGGAAGCACAGCTAAGGCAGTGCTCACAGATGCATACTTTGCCCGGGCAGCAGTTCCACTGAACTGTTCCCTGTTCAGTTCCAGACGCTAGCCTATTCCAGTTGTGCGCGGATACCTCTTATGCGCAACAGCAATAAGTGACATTCACATGGTGATGAATGGACCAGTGAGAGGTGGGCTCTCACTCGTGAATAATTGAATATGTATGAGGTATGGTTATTACTCTTGTGGTACAGACGTACGGTGTAGTCCTTTTCCCCACCCGAGTATACACTGAAACGGTACAGCCCAGGCACACAGAGGAGCCCAACAGATATATTACTTAGCATATTCATGTGCCTAGCAGAGATCAGCTGGGCGCCAGTCACATGCAGAGCATGGCACTTTACTTTGGGTTATCAGTTTCCGCTAAGCAGGCATTTTCTGTGCCAAGCACATTTCTGTCCAGTGAGTGGGGTAAGACTGAAGTCTTTAAAAGTGTGGTCCAAGGGTTTGAGCGTCTGACAGCGGGAGGCCGAGCACTGGAGAGAAGGTGCGGTGAAGATGTCCTCAAGTTTGCTGAAGGACGCGGACCTGATTCAACCTGTGTATTCACGTATTTATGCCCACAGGATCTGGTTCTGTGGTTAGGGTGAAAAATGGTTGGCAGACTCACCTCAGTGTCAACTTGGTCCAGGTTTTCAAAATGGAAAACTATTCCCTACTGTGCGATTTCTGTCAGTAGTGCACTCAGAGTACTGGTTTTTGGGGGAGGGGGGGTCAAACAGGTACGACGAAAAATTGCTACCATTGTGATGCAAATCACCATCCATTGTGTTCCCAACAAAGTTTAGAAGTGGTGGTCGCTTTGAGGTTGCCACCAATTACATTTAATTGAGTTTCTGTTTTATTCCGCCTGTGTTTCAATCAGATGCTATCAGCAAATGGAGGCCTTTTGGATAATTGAGTATTTAAACAGTTTTGTATGTGAAGTAGTCATCCTTGCCGATGCTGCGTATCGTCTCAAACCGTCCATCAAGTATGCAAATTCAGTTTTGCATCTATCGGCAGAGTTGATTGGTTATGGAATGCATTCACAAATTCTTGACCAATTTTGCAGAGCCTGGTCATACTTATTGCTCGCATGGCTCAGGTTTTACAAAAGGAATTTGGAGAAGGCGCCATGTCAGCCTCGCCGCATCCAAAAGTTGTGGCTGCGGCTTGGGGGGCCACTGCAGCGACCGCAACCGCTTCCCATAAGCACACATGTCACACTCGACCTTCTGACTGGCGTAAAGCACACCGCACCCTCAGCTTCTCTTGTACAGTCTATAAATTATGATTTTGTGACTCAAATGGGACCCACTCCGACAAATTGAGTCACAAGTCTCCAGAGCAGTTTGTTAGAGAAAGGCCTTTAAAAGAATCTTGCTGCATGGGCTGATATATCAAAACAAAGGACTCTGTTTGCTCTTTTTTTGTGCGGAGTAAAATCGAATGACCAAAATTTGCCTTAAGACATATTTATGGGGTCCGGTCATAACTGTACAGATACAAATTTCCATCACATACCTAGCATTAATTAACCACACATGTGTAATTAAAAACTATGTATAATGAAATCAGGTGTTACCCTCACCGAATACTTAAATGTTGGAGTTCACAGGTTCATCACACAATTCTCGTGATCCAGCAGGAACTGGTGGATGACGAAAGTGACTGTTTCATGAGAACTATCACCGTGCAGTAATGTTGCATCGCTGAGCTCAATTAAACCTTGCATATGGTTGAAACCTCCTTGCTTACACCCAGCCTCTCCTGGGGCGGCAAATTAGCATGACACACAGCTGATCCATTTCAGGAATGTGCGAATAGAAGGGAATATGACTGAAAAGAGTTATGATGCACGTATGTCATATCAAAGAAATGGCAATAGTGGTTTCTTTTTCTTTCTGTTTTTATCAGCTGTACCCTAGTGAAGCATTCAACATTTGTGGGTATACTTTTTATTGCACGTTTGAAAACTTTGCATCTACAATTTTGATAAATGCTCATTTCGTATTTTTTTTGTTTTTGTTGTTTGTTTTCAAATTATAAGACTATGATTTTTTAAAAGTTAGTATAGGTGTTTGTTGAGTGAAATAAACTGAAGCCAAAGTAAAACCGTGTCGGTGAGTTTCTTTGTTTGGTCAGAGTTGTAAGAAGAAAATTTCCCATTGTGCATTTGCATAACTGCTTTCTGTCCACCATTGACCTACCACAAGAGAAGGCTGGTGAAAATGTGACCCTGCTGAAACAGAAATAGTTCTGCTTTTGTTCATGAAGGTCGCGCACCTATGCAGTTGTTTTAGGGCACGTCCACGACTGCCTGCATGCAATATCCCATGTGCGACGGAGGTTTTACCCATGGAGGCATTCATGGATTTCAGTGTTTACTTTTTTTTATTGCATTGATCAGGCACCTGGATGGAGAACACCTGCAAGAATATATACCCACTCGTCTTTGTGATAATTGAGTAATAAAGGAAAACAGGTTGCACCGTGTGGGATTAAAAAAGGGGCCCTTTTCATGGACTTTCCCTGCTATTATTTGTTGTTTTGTGACAAGATCTGGAAATCAATTGTCCACAGGAATTTCGAAAAGACAAATGTTCCATTTTGGGGCGTTGCATTTTACCTGCACAGCAAGAGTGGAAACAGTATTAACCTGCTTGTATAACATGTTTGAAGGAGCAAATTACTGGGCTTAAAACTCAGTACGATGGTTTCTCTGTGTTTGAAAGCATCAACAATATAACTTTTTTTGTGGTTGGTTTCACAATGCAAATAGCCTTAAAATGCCATCATTTTGATCCGCATTCAGTAGTGTAAAAGTATGCTCTACATGTGTGAATGCCTACCATCATCAATAAGGCATTGCACTAGTGAACGCATCATGACCTGCTTTGTATGTTAAATTCTGTTCTGATGGTTAACTCAGTCTGGCTTTATATTTTGAGCTGTTTTTTTTTCCTTGGCTAAAATTTGCAAAGAAGAGATGAGATTTTTTTCTGGAGAATTTTATCTAGAATGCACGACCCTGCAAAGCACGACAGATGAATGAATGCATTAAAATATACCCGGGGTCAGCTTTGGAATCATTCTTTGCTTCGACAATTCAGTCTTTGCATTATGAAGAGCTGCTTCATGCAAATTGCCTCTTTTTATGGGAGTCAGAAGCCATCAGACTGTGACGCCGACCTTATTGTTGCGTGGATGACTTTGAGTGATAGCGCAGACTCGAAACTCAAGGCCGTGGTATTTGGGCACAATCAGGGGGGCTCTCGCACAATAATCAGAATAAGGCCTTCATATCCAGGTCACTGTTCAGCAAGTTACTTTCCACATCAGTTCTTCCTCTGGTAAGTATCACATTTTTTTCCCCAGTACCTTTTATTTTTACTGGCTCTGACAGGCGCTGTGCATTTTTTTGTTTTTTGTTTTCTTGTTCAGAGTTCTCATATTTTTGTTTTTGTGTCAAACATTCTGTTTGTTTTTCATATTTATCCTGATTAGTTTTGTTCGTTGTAGAGTTTCACTTTCCACTGAGCGGCTTCCTTTCCTTCGACATCATAGTGACTTGATCAAGTGCACAACATAAATTGAATGAAGCGCTCATGACTATACTTATCCTTGCAAAATTGTGTTGCAGTCAATTTTTTTTGGGGGGTGCCAACCTTTTTCCTGGAAAATCCAGGACTTGTAAATTCAGTTTCATAATAAAGCTTCCTGTTCATATTCATCAAGGCAGGAAGCTAAAAAAAAAAGTAAAAGCCTCTTCCTAATGTAATCTGCATCGTGTTTAACAGATTTTTTTTAAAACTGGGCCATCTGCGTTGTTTTCATATTCACACACCTCCATTTTTGTTCAGTTTCATTTGATAATTGTTTCTCTTTCATCTTGACTGTAACGTGCGTGTGAATGTAACATATGCAGTATTGATTTAACTTCAGCAATCTCTTGACTTTCCTGTTTATTTTAAAATGAATATAATATGCATGTATACACCTGTACGTTGACTTACGTATATCTGTTTTTCTTTCACACTGTAAGATCTAGAGGTGTGAAAGCCTATGAATTGTGTGGTAATTCCAATTTCTTTTTTGTGTGTAGATTCTTAACTAAGTATGTACTTTTTGAACGTATATTTTGTTTCTCTTAAATTTGCAAATTGTGTAAATTTATTGTGTTTTAATCCTGCAAAATAAATAAATGAAATGAAACTCAGGGCTCAGGAAACAATACAATCTGTTACAACTGACAGCGTCCATTTTGTTAGTATAAATGTACATGTACCGTTTGCAGTTACTTTTCATGGATCCAAATGTACTTTAATTTCTAAAAACTCTTTTTATGGTAGATTTTTAATATTGAATTTTAAAAAATAGAAAGGGAATAATTCCAATGTTACGATGAGTGAGTAGATTTTTAAAACAGTGTTTCTCTTGTTTGGTAAAAAAACTTACTGTTATGAATATATTTGTGAAAAATTAATTCAGTTGCCGTCCCCGTTTTCCTTCTGCAGCATGTTATTGATGCATCAGCCTGTGCAGATCCAGGAATTGAAACAACTGATTACTTTGGCCACCCAAAAGTATTTACTTCGCCCCCAACAAAACTTGAAAAATGTGGTTTTGTGAGCCATCCTTGGATGGTACTACATGTACATGTAATGGGATATCTTTAGATTTGTCTCTAAACTGTGCACTGATCACAACCTCTGCGGTATTCCATGCCATATTTCTACCAGTCCAGGTTGGTTGTTCCTTTGCCAGCAGACACCATGGAGCAGTTGGTCCTCGTCGCCTGGGACTATACAGCAATCGTTATCTACATAGTCCTTGTTCTTCTCATGGCGGCTTTTGTGAGTCCGCTTTTGAAAAGCACTTCTACATTTCTAAATCCAGTCATTCCATCTTTTCCATTTTTATTAAAAACCAGTTACATTATTAACTTGACGAAAAAAGTGCCCTTGCTAAACTGTGACAATAATTTTTTTTTTTATTTTGTCTAGTTTTTGCATTGTTGTTTTTTGTCCATTTTGCTAGAGATACATCATTTGATGCATCACACACCAAAGAAATATATAGAAAATTTCACGATGTGAACTCGGTTCCCCCTTGTGAACCTAAAGAACCATTAATTTTTCAAAATAGGCCAACAAGATTTACCGGGACAGTTGGCTATAGAATCCACCTACTGCTCATCACTGATAATTTCAATTTTACATTTTTTTAATGCACGATTTTTTTTTTCAGTCAATATGGGGAACGGACCGAGGTAGTAAGGAGGGCTATTTCCTTGGAGCTCGCAGCATGTCCTGGCTTGGGGTATGGTTAATCATTATTTTTGAATAAACCCTGAAAGTGGTTCATGGAGGCAGATCTTACATTTGGCTTTATCCAAAAGCCTTAGCTGTGTAGCCGCATGGTCACCTGTACTAGCCACTTGCTTGTGGCTCCACCTGGTTCCCACAGATGTGTGCTTTATTGCCAGCCACAGCCAGGACTTTCCGATACAGTCCTGGTTCAGTGTTGTCCTTGGCACTGAATTACTTCTCAAGTACCAAGTTCTCTGCCAAATATTGAACTGAAGCTGGAGACCACAGGTTTTGCACAAAGGTGAGACTACAGAATAAAGGAGGATTTCAGTTTTTGGAAACTACTCAGCTGGAGGACTTCCTGAGTCCTTACAAAACTGGGAGCGCCTGAAATCTGAATGTTTCTTTCTCTTCGTTGTGCATTTATCATCCAGGGTTATTGTTCTCCAGCTTTGTTTCCTCCTAACCAGTTCAGTATTTGGCAGTGAGCGTAGTACTCGAAAACCACTCAACCACCATATACTACTTACTGGTTACTTGCTGGTCATTTCTGTTTGGAAAGTTCGGCAGTACTTTGGCGTACAAGTTTTCTCAAGTTTAAAATCTTTGAAGGGCTAGCATGTAATTGACCAGACTTTCCTGTGTGGGCATACCCCTGCTTTGTTAGATTGGAGCATCGCTGTTTGCAAGCAGCATGAGCTTTGAGAGGATTATCTCCCTAACTGGGGGCGGGGCAGCCACGGGACTAGCAGCAGCGGCCACCGAAATACTTGTAAGATCGTAATTGTCTCTCATTTTGTTGTAAAGTTTTTCACACACCGCTCGGAAATCTGAATTTGTGTTTGTGAGCATTTTTACCATTTGCCTTTGTTTAATTCTTTATTTTTGATTTGAAATGTGCCCAAACTTTTCCACCAATGTTTTATCTGCACAGGGATAACCGTCCGGACTGGCTTATCCAGTCATTTGAAACCGATCAAAATCACACAGAAGAAGCTTGGAGCAGGGGTCACCAACATTCCTCACATATCATTGCACAGATAAACACTTTGTTGGTAACCTTACAAACTTTTATTCATGTGTTTCTCTAGGCGTTACCTTTTCTGTTGGTACTCGGATGGGTTTTTGCTCCTGTCTATATAACAAGCAATGTAAGTACATGTAAGCTTTGAAATCTACCGCCTTTCAAAAAGGGCGTTGAAGTTTACAATACTGATTAACCTATTACATATTGAAGTTCTGCTTAAATTACATTGATATTTCAAATCCTTTTTTAATTTTGTCATCAAAATAGTCATTAAAAAAATCTGCCTTTTTAAATTATCAAAGCCTGTCACCAAAAGGTCAATCGTAAGGTTCTTACAAGCCATTTTTTTTTTCTTTCTGATTTTGATGTGTCAAAAGGTGTACAGTCTTCCCCAGTACATTCACCGACGGTTCGGCGGTCAACGGATTCGCATCTTGTTGGCTATCATCTATCTTGTGATCTACATCGGAGTCAGAATTTCTGTGAGTCACGCCCAAAACCTGTTTTATTCCTCGGTCAAATCATCCATCAAATCCTTTTTAACCTCCCCCCCTTACCCCCAACAACCAACATCCATCCACGCCACAACTTAGTAGCGTCCAAGAGAGACTGCAACTATTGCTTGAAATCTTAACGCACTCTTGTTCCATGAATTCCACTTTTCCCCCCATAGCATTGACAGATCCGTCAATTTAGATGTATTAAGTTAACTTATTTTTATCAATGTTTAGACTTTGTTGGAAATTAACAAGTTCAGTACCTGTATACACATCAAGCAAAGTTAGCTAGAGGTCAGTGTCGCGATGAATCCAAGAGATTCCGTGTAGTGTACATTGCTTATTTGGTATGCTTCCCGTTTCCAAACGTTTTCCTAAACAGGTGAATTTGTACGCTGTCGCTACATTCCTTCAGTCTATCTTCCCCAACTGGAGCATTTATGTTGTCATTATTCCTATGGTGCTTGTGGTGGCTTTGTACACAGTGCCAGGTAAACCGTGAACATCTTCAATCTCCAATGAGCCTTTTACGAGTTAAATTTGAATAAAATCTGGTACATTGAGTTCTTTAAATTCACGTGAACATAACAATTTAGATTCTCTATACTAAACACTGTTGCTATACCTCGTGATTTGAGGCCAGCTTTTGCTTAGTTACATAAGAGACTCCTTGCAACAACACTGCACTATTCTCCACAGATAAGAAGGGCACAAAGGAACCAGTCTATTCCAGAGATGGTGGTTGCTATGCAAAAGTTTGCCCCGAATCACGAGGTATAGCAACAGTGTCTTTAGCCTGGGGAATTCAAATCTTTATGTCTATGTGCAATCAGATAACTGAGTGTACCAGATTTTATTCAGATTTAACGTGCAAATGGCTCATTATAACTATTCCCTGTGAAAGAGTTCCATATCTGGACATGGCTGTGGGCCGCAAATCCTTGGAGACTGGTCCGAAAAATCCAAAGCATATTCTAAGCAAAGGCCTCAAACTTTTCCCTGCTGAATTGGACTTGTTGGGACGTTATCGCTTTCTAATGGCTCATACGTTACTGCAGGGACAAAAAGTAGTGATGTCTTTGTGTGGAATTCTTACCATTTTTGTGTGACATTCATAAATATCCTGTCAACTTAGTGACGAGAGAGTTACTGACAAATAACCTAAGTAATGATTGATTAATTGATTGATTGATAGATTTTACAATTTTTGTTTTTTACAGGAGGATTGGGAGCTGTTATTTCAACCCAGATTGTTCAGACATTTGTGATCATTGCTGGCTCATCTGTCCTTGCTGTTTTTGGTAATAGTCTTTCTACACTTCTAAAGAACCAACAATGGCTCATTGTCCTGTACACTCATGATAAATATGTCAGTGACCGATAGTCAGATTTCCTGACTAAAAGAGTCTTTTTGAAATGCCTAAATATTGATGTTAATTTTTCTGATACTGATGTACCTTTAAGAATCTCTGACTTACAGGTGTCTTTGTAAACTGTCCATACAAAAATGAGTAGTTGTGGGGAAAATAGAATCATACATCTCAAAGCCTAAAGGCCAATTCATACATCTCAAAGCCTAAAGGCCGATTCATACATCTCAAAGCCTAAAGGCCGATTCATACATCTCAAAGCCTAAAGGCCGATTCATACATCTCAAAGCCTAAAGGCCGATTCATACTTCAGACAAATGCAAAAGCAAAGCGAATTTGAAGTCACAAAATGTTTTGGGAAAAATTCACTCAACTTGATTTGTTCAAGTTTTGCAAATTTGCAGCGTGAACATTTCACCCAAACTTGCCTTAGCTTTTGCACATTTTTGAGTGTGTCTACATAGGCTGCACCCAGTGTGTTTGTTCTGTGTAACAGCGTACATGGAAGTTGGGGGATACTCGGGGATGAAAGAGAGGTACCTCAGCCAAATGTCCGTCTCCAACGACAGCTTCATCAAGGTGGGCCAGACCTGCGGCTTCCCCGAGGAGAACGCCTTCTACGTGCTGCGAGATCCCGGCCAAAGCAACATGCCCTGGGCAGCTTTTCTGTTTGGCTACAGCAGCAATGCACTGTGGATGTGGTGCGCAGACCAGGTAAGAATCTGCTGCGCATCTCCAAAAGCACAGCCCACTTAAAACAGTTATTTTTTCTTGGGGAGGGAAGGGAGCAGCAGGGATTGGAAAACTTTGAAGCCAGTCACGACTGAATTTGTAAGAGATAATGTACCAGTGTAAATCCAGTGACATGGCAAGAGGGCTGAGCTGCAGATTGCCTTGGGACAAAGAATTTTGTAACTAGATGACCTCTGAGCAGTTGATGACGGACTTGTGATTGACAGTGAGCTTATTTCAAATCCAGAAGACGCTCGCTGAAGCTCACAGAATCTTGAGTGAAGCATAGAAGTTGGTGTTTTTGAAATCTGGTTATGTCCTACTTAGCCTTTGTATGCTTCCTTTCAACTTTTGGATCTCCAGAAGTTATTTTTTACTCACAAACGGTGATAAATTTTAACAGTCTCTGCGGCAGCTACGACCAGATCACCAGTTGGCGTCATCGTGATGTTGTGTGGAAAGCCACAGTCCTTGATAATACCTCCTATGTATTGGCCGTTGGAGTGCAGACGATGGATTTCTCCCGAGGGTTGTCCATGCATGGCAATGTACAGGCTGCCGTCCTTGGCCACGGCGTACACCCCAGTCGGCCCCCAGGCTTCGTTGGCACTGGTTATGCTCACGGCAAACACCTTGACGCCACTGAAATCGATGCAGAAAAGCATCTGCTTCTTGTAGCTGCTGTAGATGAGCCGCTTCTTCCAGGTGGTCAAATACTCCTCGATCATATCGGCCTTGAGCGTCTTGATGTGAGTGCCATTCGGGTTGTACAGAGACACCTCCTTTTTGGTCTCGCAGCCCACTGCGATCAGGCTGTCCTCGTCCACGGCGAGGCACGTGGGGGTGCTGTCAGTGCCGCCGACTACTGTGAACTGGTGGAGGAGCTGGACTTTCCGGTTGAAAGTCTTGACTGTGGGCCCATCCAGCACTACAATCTGGTCATTTCTGTTCACGGCCACGCACCGTGGAGTCAAGAGGTCCTTTATTTTCCACCGTTTAGCAACAGCAAGGGATTTATCCTTGCTCTTGGTCATGGGCATGTAGGAAATCAGTTGCTTGTAACAGTTGTCTGCAAAAATGAGTTCGCCATTTGAGAACACTGCCACATCGAACACGCCTCCTAACTTCACCTGCTTGGACCCATATGACTTTATCTCTGTCACTAATTCCCAGTTCTCCTTTTGCCCCAAGTTTCTTGATTTTGTGCTCCCTTCCGCTGTTGACGCTCCTTTGTCCTTAGTCTCTAGAACTAGCGTCCCAAGAGACTTGCTCCCTGCCCTGAAGGCCATGTGGGAAAACTTGTCAGGCACTGTCTCCGCTTGCAACCGGGACGCTTCCTTGAGGTTTTGCAGAAGTTTCTGCTTGAGATCTAAAATCTCGTAGCGGCTTGCCTGAGCCATCACTCTGTTGGCCTCCTCCAGCTTGTGCTCTGTCTGCTCCACTCCTCTGGTATTTGCGATCTTGGCACTGTCACACGTCTTGAGCTTCTCTTTGTAAATTCTGGTCCCCTCTGTCCTCAGTTTCTCTTCCTCCTGTCTCACCCGGTCAATCTCCTCCCTGATCTTGGCGATCTTTTCCTCGGCCTTGCTTGAGATCTTTCTCAACGTGTCGTTAAACATGGCATCCAGCTCCTCCCTGGACTTGTCGATGCTGACCATGGCGGCGGCCAGCCTTGCCTTGTTCTTTTCAGCCTCGGACACCGCTTTGGCGACGTCTTGTTTGCACTTGTCCAGAGCCTGGTCCAGTCCCACGAGGCAGTGTTTGAGGTTTCCATGGGACAGGACGGAGCAAGTTGTGCAGACCAACTGCTCACATGTGCTGCAGAAGATGCTGAGATTCTGCTCGGGGTGCACGCCGCATTTCGGAATGTCGTCCCGCAGCCGGCTCTTGTAGATAATCTCCCCCGACCGGAGCTGGGCCAGCGTGTAAATCTTGTGGGACTTCATGACGGCCAGGCGCTGGTGCGCTCGTTGGCATTCCTGACAGAGAAAATGCGCACAGTCCATGCAGATTGAGACGGCCTGGTCTTTCTCGTCGCAGGCTTGGCACTTGATCTCTGACCCCTGACCCTCCAGCAGCTTTTCCTGCATGCTGACTTCCTCCACCAGGGCACGGAGTGTGAAATTGTTCTGCAGGCCCGTTACGCCGTTTTCACCCAGCATGGTTTCCTGTCTGCACAGAGGGCAGGGTAACGTTTTGCTGTTTGGATCCTGACTATCTCTGTAGGTCTGCAGGCATGCCAGGCAAAATGTGTGGAGACAGTCAAGTAATTTTGGCTGTATGAAACGATTACAGCAAATGGAACATTCCAGGTGTCCCTCGCTTATTTTACCAAGGACTGACTGAGCTGTGACACTTGATGAGGCCATGCTGAAAATTTGCCACACACAAAGGACCTGTGAATCAGAATAAATGTTATACCGATAACTCTTACTTTCCACGCCTTGATGTACTGCCGGAAAACGACAGCAATCTATCTTTTTAGTATGGACATTATCTTGTGCACACTGGCAATTTTTAAAAAGTCAAGACATCGCAACATTCACAGAGAACACCGAAATTTTTTAAAATCACTGAAATGTTTAAAAATCAGCTTGAGATTATCTTCAGAAACAGTTTGATCAGTATATGTGGTTCTGCTAACCCGCACCTTGGGAGAGGCTACTTTAAAACTCATCCAGCACAAATTGCAACCATTAGCTAATCCATTTAACTGTGACAAAGCACTCCTATAATGTGCCACTGTTTATCTCGTCTCGAGGGCAAGACTTGTGAATGGAAAGTACATTTGATGGACTCAGCTACAGTACGGTTTTTCTATTCACAAATGTCTCATAAAAACCGGCAGAGTATCAAGACATTCAGAGGATTCCGAAACCTCTAAGTAGTTTCCTTTATAATGTGATAAATATTGTTTTGCTACTTTTAAAAGAACCCAAGAATTAAACAGGAAAAATGCAAGAAGTAGAACTTACTCTGAAGATGTGTTCGTAGATGTATTTTGTCAAAGTTGAATGTTGTCACTGCCACAGTAATCCACCTGTTTGTGTGCCACACAGTAATGGAATTACATGTCCTTGGGGAACTGACTGATGAGGAAGTACTGAAATTGTGCATTGCCTACACACAGTTTCATTTTCACAATCTGTTGGCATGTAGAAGCATTCCGGAAAACAATATAAACTTCACCACGTTGCTGGCCGCGATGGAATTTAACCGATCCTTGAACAACATACATGTAGGAGGAAGTGCATGTGAACAAAGTGATATCATGTAGCTTGGTTATTGATAAAAACAATCATCAATGTTTATGGCACTTGATTTTTTTTCCTGTCAAACAAGCCGGCAGCAAAACGAGAAATGGAAAAACCAATCTGAAATGGACCTAAAGGAGAACAAAAGAATGACTCACATAGTGTGGGAAAATAAATACAAACAATATTTGAGAAATGTGGCACTCATGATTTACATCTCAAAATTTACTCCAGCGACTGGCCACTTGAAGGGCTGTGTATGAAGGTTTGATATATACTCATAGAAGTATTGAAAGTTGTTCTGCTAAATATATGACTCTAACCTCAAATGTACATAAATTAATCATAGAGCAGTTTTGTGCAGTAGGTACCAAATCTTTTGTTTCAGTGCGTTATCTAAAAACAATTACATCAATATCAGATAATTTAAATATTGAATGAAAGTATTTGTCTTTTGAAATAAAGGAATAATCTCTTTTTCACAATTGACTCCCAAGATAATCATACCAAAAGATGTCATGGTTTTCCTGAGCAATTAACAATTCATTAAATGGGTACTATTTCGAGTTTTTGCCACAAACTTGTGTGTGAGTTGTTTTTTTCTGAGGTTCATATAAATGTAAGATACAGCTCCAAGTAATTCTAGCTTTATTATTTTAATCAGAAAACAGTTTTAGAACTTACAAGATTGTCAGTTAAAAGGACTTGGAATATAAGCACTAAAGGAGTAACCGTTTCAATAACTGGTTGTGTCTTGCAGTTGCTTGTTCAGAAGACGATGTCAGCCAAGAATCTGTCTCATGCCCAGGGAGGCTGCATTTTGGCCGGGTACCTCAAGATCCTGCCCATGTTCCTGCTTGTGATTCCAGGAATGATCAGCCGCACCCTTTATGCCAGTAAGTCATTCAAAAGCTTTTTTTTCCTTTAAACCACTTGCAGATGATATCATTTTTGGCCAAAAATTTCTGCATCCGAAAAGGGAAAAGTGTAGTAGGCAACTTTTGATATACAGCCAAATACTAATGCTTAAGAGTCGAATTAACAGCATCTGTACAGTCCATCTTGCCACAAGCTCACATTTTTCAATAGTCCCCAGGTACAGTCCTTTGATTGTATGGAGCAGTCTGAAACCAATTCATGTCCAGCTGTTCTCATTCTTGATGAACCGCCATTATCCAGTTGAAGGGTTTGGTTTGCTGAGTTTTCCACTGGGAGCCTTGGGACTTTGCCCGGCCTGCAGAGGTTCAGTTGAAGAGATTGTAGATCGCTTGTTGCTTGATTGATTTTCACCTGAAGGTAGTGGTGTAAATCTGTTCCAGGGACTCGGGGCATTGGGGATGACTTAAATGGAAAATTGGCCCGGATGTTTTTTAAAAACATGTTTCAGACAATTCTATTTAGAACCACTAAAAACAGGAATAAAACAGGCTTTAAACAGGCTAAAAACAGTGTGAAAGAAAATAGTTTTAAAACAGGTTCCTGTGTTTTGATAACAGGAATAAAACATGTTCTACTCCTGTTTTATGAAAACATACATTTGCATAAACTAATATTTATAAGATACAAACCAGTAGCACCGACTGATGTATTTGTGTTTTTCACATGCATCGGAATGGACTGTTTTACTCAAGCATATGTCTACATGTGTAGGGAATATGTTTTTCAAATCAATTTAATCAATTTCAACCAGTTGATTGACACCCCACCATTCAAACCAATATCCAGTCTGAAATACGGTACATACACCCATGTGGTTCCTCCTCCTTAGATGCTGTAGGCTGTGCAACAGCAAAGCAGTGCCTGGCAGCGTGTGGCAACCCTCGGGGCTGTGCTGGCATTGCACTGCCAATGCTCATCATGGGACTTCTGCCACAGGGTAAGTGACCAAACACCGTAAGAGCCAATTCATACTGAGTCATTCAAATGCTTTGGGGGATGCAGAAAAAATTTCTTTGGATGCAAACAACAGTATTTTTCATTTTTATATCTGCAATTGGTTGACAACAAAGTTGGGCTCGCTTTTGAAAGATCTTACGAGAGTTGACAAAGAAGGTTTTTTAAGTTTCAAATCCTCCACTTTGGTTGGAAGTGAGGCATCCTGCTACCACACACAGTCCCAAGTCAAATCCCTTTCTCATCAGGACTGCATGGCGTCCTGTTGGTCGTGATGTTGGCTGCTGCGATGTCCGACTTGTCGTCCGTGTTCAACAGCGCTGCCACAATCATCACCATAGATATTGTCGGAGGCGTGAAGAAATATTTAATGAGCCGATGGTCCATGGCCGCAGCCAGGTAGGATATGGAATTACACAGATGGTGAGGAGAACGTGGATGATAGTCCATGTCAGTCATGCCTTTTACTAATTCTCATCTTGTGTTATTAAAACAAAGCATTTCTTAAGGGCACTGGATGAAGCTTGCTGGCCTTAAAAAACTTGTACAGCAAAGATAAGTTCATTTCAAAGTTGAGGGAAAAACGTCGGACAGATGTTCCAGGAGAGACTCGTGGAATTAGTTAGGAACTGAAAATCCATAGGCAGATAGGGGTGGCCAATAGGAGCCATGCTGCTCCCCCGGTTAGCACCGTGAAAACTGTTACTGGAAAAATAAATAAAGAAAGGCAGGGGTCGTTTTTGCTGTATTTAATTTCCTTTCTTTCCAAAAGCGTGTAAAAAGCCCCAAAATGTTGCCTTTCCCTTTAGAAAGAACAGAAAAGGTTGCATAAAAAAGTTCCAAATTATTTGCCCCCACCTCCTGAAAAAAATGAAGTCATTCAATAAGTTCTGAATCCACCTTTGTGAAAATCCAATCTGTATGTATCAAGTCTGGGTTCGAAGGAAGGAAATCAACACTGCACTAACCGCACAGACTCTCCAAAGGTTCCTTCCCTTTTTACTACCACTGGATAGATCACTCTCATAAAGTGTCTGAGTTCTTGGCATAAATAGGAAACTGCAAGTTTACATAGCAGTGAATGATGTCCCGTTGTGGCTGTACATAAGATCTCGTGCACTTTCATATCGGTATGATGATTTCTTACAGGCTGAGGAGCAGCCCCATAACCTTCAAGTTCTTCTTCATTTGCTCTCTAGAACGGCCATTCTTGTCATGCTGGTAATCTCTTTTGCCTGGGTCCCCGCAGTCCACTTTGGCGTTGGATTGACTGAGGTCTTTACTGGCATCCTCAAGGTGCAGTTTGGTTTTGCACCGTCAATTGCCGCTGTGTTTCTCCTGGCCATCGTTTGGCCGAGAGCCAATGAAAAGGTAAATTGTGTCATTTTCCGTCCTCGTTTTGAGTTGAAAAGGTGCATCATTTTTTGTACTGAATAAATTTAAAGTGCGATTAACGCAGGCTGGATAGAATTGAGGAGACGTTTTGGCATGGTTAAAGTTCAAGGTTTGTAGAACATTTTGTCTGCAATGGTTGGTATGGCTACTCACAAATTTATAGAAATGAACTTTTTTCTCAGAGTTCCCATCAAATCAAGGCACAGGATACCTTGTTGGGGGCTATCCGCCTCGACTAGAAGTACCCCCTCTGTGGTTGAACAGAGCCAGGTGGTCCGCAGTACTCAATCGATCATAGTGAGTACCGCAAGCGGAGTCACGGTTGCTAGGATAAGCACGTCCTCTCTTGGTCAAGCTCGAGGCCCATAGCAACGTACTTCAGCTCAAGAAAGGTGTGTTCTTCCTAAGTAGATTTGTGACCTCATTCTTCCAGGGATCTTTCTTTGCCCTGTTGACTGGTGTAGCCTTGGGCATTGTGCACATAGCGTGCAGCATCGCATTCCCGGAGCCCAGGTGTGGAACCGAGGACAACCGCCCGATGTTCTTCCAGAAGGTTCACACCTTCTACATCACTCTGATCATTTTTGTCATCACCATAATCGTGGACATCATCGTCAGCCTCTGCACGGCTGCACCAGAGGATGGCCGGGTAGGTGCTAATTCAAACGATTCTTTAAAGTCAGTTGTGGTGTAGCTATTGGAATGATCGATCAGGCAATAGAATGGTTTACAAGTATCTCTAAACTGCCATAAGGAAAATTGTCTTCAGGCAAACTTGAATTCTCAATTCTGATTGGTCAATCCATGGCAACAAACAGTGTGACATAACTGCATTGCTTGGTTCATGTCAAGCCCCGCATAATGCACTATTCTAACTCAACCCAATGCGCTATTTTTACACTAAAAGCGAAGTGCACAACTGCAAAGTTCACTATTAATTCAACTTAGGTGGCACGTTTGCGCTCACAGGCCCATATACCATCATTACTGCACATCAACTTTGCTTGAAGATAAATTTGTTATCACAATCGTGCTTGTGCAACACAGAATGTCTGTGCATCTGTCGCAGGCAGACTATGATGGTGAATTTGAAAGAGGATTGTCTCAGCAAGGAAACCTTTCACAAATGCATCTACCCCTAATTTCAACCCTAACAGTCCTGAATTCTCTAATCATAATATAATTTTGCACACACCCTAGTGACTAAGAGATATCATACTCAACAAAAAAACATGGCCCAATCTCATGGCCGTGTATGCTTTACCATAAGGGAACTTCTGCTTTTTAAAGGCAAGTATATTTCATGGTTTTGCGAGGAATTCTGGCCTGTAAATTGTGATCATCAGTATATTCCGTAGTTGGCAGAGCTTTGTTATTAGTTGGACCCCTTGTTAACGGGGTTTCATTTTAACATTTGCGGATTGTTCCATTCGCCCAAATGACTCCTGTCTTGTGGTTTGTTAGGTATTAACCTTTTTGTTTGTCCTGCAGCTTGTGCGCACCGTGTTCTGGCGCCGTCACAGCTCCGCTTCAGCTAAAAGCTGTAAAGTGGAGAAGAAGAAGAAATTACAGACTCCCCACACCGACCCATTCCAGTTGCTGGTAGAGGAAGATGCGTATGAAGGTAAGACAAAACCCCTGAAGACCATGACCCCCCCCACAAGACCATCACAAGACCTCACAAGACCCCTGAAGACCATCGCAAGACCAACAAACAGATCTCCCAACCCTCCCAATTTTGGCAGATTTTCCGTCAAATTGCAATTTTGACACGCCTATGTATTACCGGAAACTGTCCATGCAATCTTGTGCATTTACCATAGTACGACTTAGCCAACTTAAGGTGGCTTTCCATATGCACCTTTTTTGGATGCGTTGCGTATACGATGCGTTCATGCATTTCACTTACACAGATGCAAAATCGACTCCATAACACACGTGTGCGTTGTGTATATACGGCTGTCAAAATCACTCTGGGAGCAATTTGACGGATACGTGAACGCTTGGTGCAAGTGTTGATGTGCATATGGAAAGGCGTCCCTACCCGAACAGTCAGTGCAGTGCACATTGTATATATTGTATACACCACATCCATGGCAGCGCCTTCTTTTGATGCGTACCAGCCACAAGATGGATGTGATACATAGACGTGACACCAAAATCGTTCATGGACAAAAACGCTTTCTATCGACAAGCTGCATTAACACTGCATGCATCGCGCAGTGCCCTGTTTCAGTTGGAACCACAGCTGAGAATGTTTGGATCCCAGATTAAGCACTGCTGTGAAATTGACATTATCATGCCAAGTGTGCAAGCACCATGCGGTGAATTTTTCGCTGAATTTCGAAGTGAATCAACGCATTTAGGAGATGAAAAATTATTGCGGACCATTTCAGATAATGTAAACTCTTGTGGAAATCAAAATTTTATGGTATCGGTGAGTACGTGCAGTACTCTACATCATCACGGACACTGACTCAACTCTTGTACAATGCAGCACTTATTTTTCCCTGTTCATGGTCATAAATACGGAGAATATTCTGATTCCTCGTGAAAAGTTCCGAATTTTGGAGGGAAGAATTCTGAATTTTGGAGAGAAGGATTCCAAATTCTTGATAGCCCATGTTGGGAGGTTTGCCGATAAAAGACCTCCAGTCTGAATGAATTAAAGTCACAAAGTATTTCAAATGAACTGCGACAAAAGTATTCCTTTGTTGTTGTTCGCCTTTTACATGTGACTGGTCTCTAAACTGGTCTTGCGATGGTCTGAACTATAGCACTGGGTACCGGTACAATGGATGAAGGATATCTGGCATAGCCAGAAGTATCTTGAAACAAGTTCTGAACCAGTCGTTCTTTTTTTTAAAAAAATGACTCTAAATTACATTTGAAACCTATGAAATTTAACTTGCTCCAGCCAAAGTTGCTGTCAACATAATGGAAATTTGTTTCACAAGTTCCTTTGCACAAATCCTGTCCCAAGATCACATCAGCGGCAAGCAACAGGATGCAAAGTGACAAGGAACACTTTTGTTGCAGTTCATGTGGATAGCTTGTGACCAGGATACAACTAAATGCAGTAACTTATGATAGACTTAATTACTTTCTACAGTGATGCTTATCAATAATTATGGTGCAAAATGTCAAGCTTTTGAAGAATGCAGGAGTCAAATTCGTGTTGTGAGATTTATTTAGAAAGAAATGCTGTTGGATAATTTGAGAACTCCCAATTTGTCAAGGATTCTTGGCAATATGTAGAGATGTCATTTGAATGTCACAGATGAGATGACTCACTGGAGGAGGAAATCTAAGATGCGCCTCTGCTATGAGTGGGCCTGTGGCTACGCAAGCTACGATGTCACCCCGAGGCCCAAACGGAGCCGGGAAGCCTTCAGTATGGCCAAGTACAAGGCAGTAGACATCCGGCAGAGCCCCTGCACCAAGGTCTTCCTGAACATCAACCTGGTGATCGTTCTGCTGGCCGCCATCACCATGTTTTCGCTCTTCTCCCTGCCAGCCAACATCATGTTGGACAGTGGTCTTTGAGCATAACTGTTGGGCAGCATTGCTTTTAGGCTGTCATAACCGAAACTTGGATTGGTCGTTTCTCAGCAGTGCATTTCTCTGGGTCGTTGGAAAGGAAAATCTCCTAAAACAACCAAACCAATTCTTGGTTGTGACCACCAAACTGCACCACCAAAAATGCCTGTTCAACCATTCATTGTTCCGAAAATTGTCTTGGTGCGCATGAAAAATTCAGTCAGAAGATGTAAACTGAAGTATGGTGAAAATTCTTAAGAATAAGACTAAGGGTGTGTCCAGAACCAAATTTTTTTTGGGGGGAGGTGTCCAACAAATGTGGAAATTTCTTTCTCCAACCCAATTATGGCTATTGCCCTTCAGAGGGTCAGGCTGAATTTGTTGGCTTTTACACGTTTGTAGAGAGAAAGGAGAGAAAGTAACCCTCAAAAAGATCATCTTTCATTATTTCTTAAATAAAAAAATGTGTTTTTTCTGTAGGGTTTCTCTAGCATTTAAATGGACCAATTTCATGGTGCATGTGAGCATTAGAATTCACCAAAGGTTCTGCTCAACAAAAATACACAAGGTCACATGAGAGCTTTAGTTCTTTTGAATCTTTCTTTACCCTTTTTCAATTGAATGGCTGGAAAATTCGATCAGTGGATTGTGGTCGACAATCATCAGGGCTATAGGCACCTCTTTTTTAGTAAATTGACCACTCAGAATTCGGTGAAGTCAGAATTACCTAATGTTATAATGTTTAAGCTATCAAAATGGTGAAAAAATGACTTGAAGACAAGTTTTGGAGATTGTGTATGAGCCATGTTAATTTTCATCATATGCTGGTTTTTGCTTTTGTTGTACTTTTGTGTTAATCTGTTGGTAGTTCAGGGGCCCATTTCATAGAGCTGCTTCAGCACAAAATTTGCTTAAGGGCAAAAAAACCTTGCTTAAAAAACAAAGGTTACCAGCTCAAAATCTATGTGATTGTCATGTTAACCAAACGACAGGTGAATACCATTGCAAAACAACAAACATCACAAGGAGTTTGGGCTGGTAACCTGATTTGTCAAGCAAGGTTTTTTTCACGCTTAAGTAAATTTTGTGCTTAAGCAGATAATCACGTTTTCTGTGCTTAAAATGTGTTTGCCTGTAAATTGACCCCAGTTGAATTTGCACAGAAAATATTACCTTGCCTCTCTGTCCTGAAGATGCTGTAAATAGCGATGCTACGGTTGGCAACCAGTGAGGTTTTAGTCATTTGCTGGAGGTGGACAAAGTTGTTTCAGTAGCTGTTTTTGTTATTTGTGGGGTAGGGGTTACTGAGACCTTTACACTTTTCCTTGATGTAGGTAGGGGTGACTGTAATAATAAACCCATGCTTTTTAACGGGCCATTTTTTCTTACATGTTGAAGGATGTAGCAAAACAGGGACATCAATAAACTTCAACGTTGTATTCCATATTCTGTTGGGTTTTTTTTGAAGACCACAAACCTTCAGGGGTTCGTGAACAACTCAGTGGTACTTTGTTTCATCTACAAACGAATCTGGTGCTCCACGGTCTCTTGTGTAAAATACAAAATGAATTTGTTGGAAGTGAGACTGGTACTTCATTGTGAATTAAGAGTGGATACTGATAATATTGAAACCAAGATTGTTGATTTCTAAACAAAGAGCAGCGGCAAAACCTGGAGAGCTAGGTGGAGCTGGTAGGTTCTCTGTGAGACATTTGTAGGATAATGAAGGCATTATCCAATCATCGTTGTTGATCCAGGTCAGTTTATTTTCGAACTTTGATTTGAGTGAGTTGTTGAGTTGAAAATTAAAACTGACATGGTTTCTTCTTCTTGTTTCATTTTTGTAAATTGGGCTAAGAAGGTTTAACAGGATGTGGTAACAGTTTATTTTTAATTTTGGTATTTTATGCTTACCGGGAGCTTCATGACTTGGTTTTGGAAGGGCCTTGCTTTGTTTGCATATTTGTATCGAAACAGAAGTAGTCAACAGCTATAGTGTGATGTGATTGCCCGGGTGTTGTTGTTGCTATGGCCTTGGCATATATATTCATTCAGGCATATTATTCATACCTTTCAAGGACACAAAGTCTTCTCCCAGTGCCTCATTTATTTTGGTGCAGTCTAATCCAAGATATTTCTTTGACCCCTCTAAAACGTTTGTGATGACCAGGAACGTGTTCCAAGGAATAATTGAAGTCATATATGGACGTTTCAAGCAAATTCAGAACTCCAAATTTGCATTTTAATTAAATACTGATCAAATTTTCACTCTTCTGGAAATCCTTGAGAATGGTTTTTATTTAAGGACTACAAAATTTCTTTTACGCAAATTTCACACCAATTCAGTAATCAAAATTTAACACCCAAATTAAATAACTCTTCAACCTCACATTTTAATTAATTTAATGCAGAGTTTACGTGTCTCTAAAAGTTAACCTCATTTTATCCCATGCATTTTTATATACTTTTTGATTTTCTCACACAAACATATTACTTGATAGCAATTCCTAGACCGTTTTAATGGACAGAAATGACCAGTCAACAAAATATATAATTATATCTTTGAAAACTTTTATTGCAAGAGCTAACACTTACACGTTCTTCAATATTAAAAGTCTAATCTGAATAATTAAAAGTCTATTCTGAATAATTAAAAGTCTAATCTGAAAAATTAAAAGTCTATTCTGAATAATTAAGTTTATTCTGAATGATTAAAAGTCTAATCTGAATAAATAAAAGTCTAATCTGAATAATTAAAAGTCTATTCTGAATAATTAAAAGTCTAATCTGAATAATTAAAAGTCTAATCTGAATAATTAAAAGTCTGATCTGAATGATTAAAAGTCTAATCTGAATAAATAAAAGTCTAATCTGAATAATTAAAAGTCTATTCTGAATAATTAAAAGTCTAATCTGAATGATTAAAAGTCTAATTTGAATAATTAAAAGTCTGATCTGAATAATTAAAAGTCTAATCTGAATAATTAAAAGTCTGATCTGAATAATTAAAAGTCTAATCTGAATAATTAAAAGTCTGATCTGAAAAATTAAAAGTCTAATCTGTAGCAGCAAATTCAGTGTTTTGCTTCCGACCTGATTTACCAAAATTCAACATTTAATGTTTTGCCCAAAGCATGAAGTTTTGATGGTTGAGAGTGGGAATTAGCAAATTAACTGTTGAGGCAATTTATGAATAGTGAAACTCTTCGGGAGAATATAAACCGTGAAAAACGAACAAGTTTCCAAATCATACAAAAGACTAAGTCACGTGGATCGATGCTTTAAATTAAGAACATTTCTAAATTTCACAAGGTTTTTTGCATGTGACTAGTTTAATTTACAATATTTTACCCATATCTCCGTCAGCGGGACCTTATGCAATATGAGACGCCATTTCCGTTTATAATTATTAAGTGACACCGGAAAATATGTTTCAATTGAGCTAAAATGGTAATGGTATCTACAAAAATCCACTGGCATTTAAATGTATTAGTCTGAATTTATTTCCAGGGCATTTTTCTTCCCATGAACCAACATTTTGAGTCTGGCCCAGGGCACAAAGTCTACTCCTGTGCCGGTGCCGGGCCATTAGGGCTTGTACTATTTCAACATCTCGATGCCACGCCTACAAAATCTCAACGTGCTGTTCACACAGGCGCCGCAAAAAATACTTCGTGCAATAATGTTTCTTCGGCGCTCAATACTGGCGTGATAGGAGTACATACAGTGCACGTACTGCATGCATTCTGCTGTGATTCTCCGTTGATACCAACACGTGTGCTTGTTCACCGCACATCGTCAGTCGAGTCTTGGGTAGCCGTGCGGTTCTCTTGAAGGTACAGGTGCCAGGGGAATTAGTGAGCCGTCATGGCAGACCCAGTGGTGATTGTATCTGCAGCTCGTACTCCAATTGGTGAGTTATGATTCACTAATGTAAAGTTAGATTGTCGATTGTAAGGCAATGGAATCGTGTGAACAGGTGAATAACAAATGTAATTAGCCGGTGCACATGGTGGATGGATTAATCAAATTAGAGATAATTATGATCATTGTCGAGGATGTACTTTTTTCTTAATTTAATTAAAGATCTAATTATTAAAAAACTATACCTTGCAATCTTTTTCCGTGAATTGTCTTGTTCTGTTCATTTTCTCCCACGGTGCTACTGCTAGTTATATTGTTTTAATATTTTCTGACTGGATTCGTACATGGAAGTCATGGAAGTATACTGCTCCTTGTATAAAGTAAAAAAGTTTGCATGGTTTGGCTTTTTAAATGGTGAGACCTGCCTTCTTTAACCATGGAGGAAGGAAGATAGATTTCATGCTTCAACCACATGGGCTGTTTCTTCGAGAAGACTGATCGATACTTTTGTTTAAGTCAAGGAGATTTAACCCCATTGCATGAACTTGGCTTTAAGCTAGAATTTCTACTTCATGTGTTGTCAGAAACAACTGAGTCCAAATATGTTGCAATACAAAAGAAAGACAGAAAAAGACAACTGAAGAGAGGTGGCCTGGCAAGATACTGTTTTGGTGTTGATTTTTTTTACTCCACCCTAAACATGCATGTTGTTTCGTCAGCTACAAGCTCGGTATCAGTGAGGCTTATCAATGCAGCTGTTTTGGTTAGATTTACTGGCATGCCAGCTGATTCCTTCAGTAGTTACAAATAAATGGCCCAACGTTTATAGGTCTCAAAATACACACCTAGTGCCATGCTGAGATTTGTGCAGGTACCTGATTTCAAATGATTCCGTTTCGGACTGTTCTCTGAGCGGAAGTCAAACTCCAAAGTACAGTTGAGATAATTTCTAACCAAGTAGACTTGTGACATGGTCAGTATTGGCATATTAACCAGTGAAGTGTTCCTATTTAAATTTTTGTCCATGGCCCAGGGGTAACTTAGGGACATATATTTCAGTTTTTCAATTATAAAGGAAAGAAATACATGCTCCAACCTGGGGACAAAAAAAAGCCAGTTAAACAAATGACAGGATTACTCTATGAGGCCTTGTAATTTCCTGCAGGTCAAATTAATGTGAATGTAAAATAATTTTTTGAACTTCAAATTTCCAATAACAATTTTCCAGCGCGTGCCCAGCAAAACAGCAATAACTTTCTTGATAAAGTTTTTAGTTGCCGTATAGTTGTGCTGAATGAAATGCATTTAGTCTTTCAGATAAATTATTGAAGGCCACACAACTTGTATGTGTGACAAACAGCTTTGAAAAAGATCTTTAAAAATTGAAAAAACGGCGTTATTTGCTTCAGTGGTAACCTTGTTCCTGGGCCGTTTTGCTAGAAATGTCAGCAAACCTGGAGAGCTGGGGAATTTGAGTTTGTACCTGTAGCTTGTAAGTTTTTAAAGTTTTAACGCATTCTAACAATCAGTCTTGGTGTAGCCGCTGTTATCAACCCTATTCCCTTCGTTTTTCATTGTTTTCGTTTGAAAAGGCTCCATCAATGGGGCACTTGCCTCGCTGGCTGCAAACCAGCTCGGCACCATTGCCATCAAAGAGGCCCTTCAGAGGGCAAAGGTCAGCCCGGAGGATGTGTCAGAGGTCATCCTGGGTCAAGTTCTGACGGCGGCAGAAGGGCAGAACCCAGCGAGACAAGCCAGCGTCAATGCTGGAATCCCAGTCACGGTAGCCGCCTGCACCGTCAACATGGTGTGCGGCTCAGGTCTAAGGTACGGACATTTATGTTCCATTCAGTGCAAGGTATGATTGGATAAGCGGTCAGTCGCTTCTTGACATTACAACGCAATGAATGTTTTACACCATTTTTGGGGGGGGGGAATCCCACTGGCATTTTTCATCAGTAGTTTGTTTCTGGGTTATTCACGTGGCATGCTGAACAGGTAATTAAAACTGGGCATTCAAGGCACGTATACGCCCGAGTACACTGAAAAATCTCCCAAGGGTTTGTAGAGCTGTGTGGCAATGTGTGTGTAAAGGAAGCTACATGTATCACATTTCTTACTATTCTCCTACTGGGATTCTTTTCCCTGTTCTCTGAAACAGACTAAAAATGGAGCTTTGATGCAAGCTTAAATTTAGACCACTTTAAATTCATTATCAACATCAGCGATCCGTTTTCATAGTGTCGCAGCCACTATCTTTATTGTTGTGTTAAAAATATCTGCAGGATGCCAAAGATTTGTTTGCAGTGAGTATTTTTAGCAGTGCTGTCTTTGTGGAGGACTGTACTTTGCTCCGATACTGGGTTTATTTTCTTTGGGTCATACATCTTTTGGGATTTAAATTTAATACATGTACACACCAGTATCTGCCAATTTTATTTTTTCTGTATGCAGATATTTTAAAAAACGGAATTCAGTTTTGGCCGATTTTTCATATTCCCATCGCAATTGTACATGTAGTTGTTACTTTTTGCAGTATCATAATAAAATTACAAAATGTACCCTTTACCACAGTACCAGAAAAATGCAGTTCCTGTAAATTGAATTTGTCCAGTCTGTATGTCAGTTGGCCAACTCACTGAGACAGAGCAATGACAGACCCTGATTTGGAAGGGAATTTTATTTTCATCCCGTCTACAGACATTGCAGCTATTGAAATATAAATTCCATCATCCTTAGAAAGATGTCTTTCCATAATACTGTATCTCAGGAAGACACCTTTCTGAGACATGATATTGGGGAGAGATGTCTCTCCGAGGTACGACACCTTGGAAGAACTCTTTCTCAGATAAAAATACCAGGGAGAGGCTCCCTTTCCCCGATAAATTATCAAAGAATTGAAAATTTGGATGGTCACTCTAAGCTTCCGTAGGATTGACACAAGTATGTCCAAGTAATACCAACATGCATTTGACATGGGCCCCACTTTTTTAATTGCTGTTTTGCAGAGCTGTGGTCCTAGGTTCACAAGCCATACAGTGTGGCGATGCCACAATAGTTGTAGCAGGAGGCCAAGAGAGTATGAGCAAGGTATTTGCTTCAAAAATCTATCCCTGAAAATCTTAACTGCTGCTCGCTTAAGCCCAGGGTGCACTGCAGTGATATCGAAGTCCCCGTTCCAGTTGATTTGTTGTAGGGAAGGGGGACAGTATCGGTGAAGTTGATATGCAGAACCTGTAGATCATGTAGAACCTGTGTGAGAGAGGTTCCGGAAACTGTCGTTAATTAATCGCAATGCTAAGTTGGTTGGATAGAGTGTAGGAAGGGAGATGCAAGAACATTGGGGGGAAAAAAAATCACAGAATTATCAGTTTGCTGGGATCAATCCAAATTGAGTCTGCTTATTTTTGTGCTTTCACTGCCATTTATTCCAAGAACTTTGCTACGAAGCTATATCCTTCAATTTCATGGCCGTACACCGTCGGATTGGAAACGATTTGACTTCCACTTTTGCCCACAGTGCAAGCTACTTGGAGCAACTCCCCAAATCTATAAACCATAGTAATCTCTCTTACTTTTTCAAAATTCAATCACAGGCTCCTCATGCAGTCCACATGAGAAACGGCGTCAAGTTTGGCGACTGCTCATTGGCGGACACCTTGCTGATTGATGGACTGAAAGACGCCTTTAACAAGTACCACATGGGAATAACAGGTGCGCGGCCTGACGGTCATGTACCTGTAGCCGCAGGTTCCGTTGGCTTGCAGCCGTTCTTGGTTGTGCCTTCCCCTGTTCTTTCCCCCTACCCCCATTCTCCTCCCCCCCCCTCATCTGGCCCCACTCCTCATGGCTTTACCGAACCGTGACATCGACAAATCTGTTGGGTGAAGTATTCTTTAAGCTAAAAAATAAAGACTATCCCCTACTCCCCGAGCCTACCCTTCCTCTTGTATAAAATTTCCTTTATGAATATCATGCAAAAGGCACCCGTCACCGGTACCATTTCTCTTTCTGAATGGTTGCCATGGCGTTCTCGCCCACGTATGGCTTTGCTGTTTGTGCCCCCAGACACTGTTAAATGAAGGCTCGAAAGCACTGCCCTGGGAAAAGGGTAGGTGTTACATTTCCTTCGTCCCACAACTCTCTGAATGCGAAGATTGTCTCATAGTCCTTTATGGCGCATCCAGGATAGCTGTTTGCCTGTTTCCTGTTTGGGGAAAGTCTCTAACTCAAGATAAACCCTGGAGGTTGTCTTTCTTTTTTTCCTTCTCAGCTGAGAATGTTGCAAAGCAGTGGAAAGTCTCCCGGGAGGAGCAAGACGAGTTTGCCTTGAAGTCGCAACTCCGCTGCGAAGCAGCTCAGGCGAAGGGGGCCTTTGATGAGGAAATCGTACCCGTGACCGTGGCACAGAGAAAAGGCAGGATTTTGACCATTGCAAACTTTTAGACTTCGAGACTTTGTTATTGTTAAAGCTTGTAATCCAATGGCCATCTTGAAGAGTTTTTATTTTTTTAAAGTTCGTTAAGGGAAGAAGAATTTCTTGTCAGGGTCACAACTCAAGGTAGTGTCTCACTGATGTAAAGAACTTGCATTTTGATGCTCATCTGTTTTAAAGGTTAAAAGTATTCACCACATTTGTGGCATTGTCATTTTTATAGTTCCTCTGGAAATTTACTGAATTTCTAAAAACAGGTTAATTCATGGATTTGTAATTTTACAAAAAATCTTCCAAAAGAGATGACATTAAGTACGATAATGACATTAAAAATTATGAGTACTTCCTCTTCTCTTTCGTGAGATTATCTATATGGATGCCTTCCTTTCCTTTGCCCAAAGAGCAGTATTTTATTCAGCTTAAGATCTTGAGAAATTATCCATTTCATTTGTTTATTATCTGCTTTCTGTTGATAGGGACTACGGTTGTGAAGCAGGACGAGTTTCCAAGGAAAGGTTGTGTGATTGAGAACTTTGCCAAACTCAGAGCGGCCTTCATTCAAGACGGAACCGGCACGGTGACAGCTGGGAATGCCTCAGGTAAAAGGAGATCTTTGGTACTGCTGATCACCTAGTAGGGCCTTTGCAAAGTTCAAAGGGTGCGGCTGTCAGGGTGAGGGAAATAAGCTAAAAATAGATTTGCGAGGTCGGTTGTAATCAGGTCAGCAGATTTGGTTGAGTTGGGTCTGTTTGTTTCACAGGGATCTGGATCGTGATCAGTGATCCCAGAGCTGGTTCGCACCGTCCATTAGGCAGGTTTTGGTGTCAGTGAACCAACAACAGATCACTGATCGCGATCCGGATCCGCGTGAAACGAACTGGTCCTTGGAGACACATTAATTGCAGGTTGTACCGAATCAGTTTGATTACATGAGAGAGAAGTGATAAGGTATGATTTTGTACAATTCACAGATTGATCCAAGGATATTTAGGTTGAGTTTCACTGTGTATTATTCCCAGATTCCACTGCTTTTGATTTGCAGCTGTGTTCAAGACATGATAAACCCATGATCTACTTTTGTAACGTAGGCCGTGTCCGAAACGGGCCGCCAGAGCTACGGCTAGGTCTATTGTCTGTGCGTCTCCACGCATTTCCAATGGAGCGAAGACCTAGACCTAGCTCTAGACAAGAGATTTGGGATGCGGCCCTGGACTGATGAAAGAATTGCTTTGGTGTCTGTTCGCAGGTATCAATGACGGTGCTGCTGCTCTGGTTCTGATGAAGAAATCGGAGGCCGAGAAGAGAGGCATTAGCCCACTGGCCAGCATCGTCAACTGGGCTCAGGCAGGGGTGGACCCTGCTGTCATGGGAACAGGGCCCATACCAGCCATCAAGAAAGCTGTGAGTGTGGTCCCTCGACTCGTAGTGTCAGATCATCAGAAGCAAGTCACAAACCAGTCATAATCCTGTCTTGGGTCCAGTGTTCAGCTATTCAAATGAATAAGGCATCCTTTTGTTATTGCTTAACCTCTGTGACTTATCATTTATGACTTACCTGTGTAGTGTGACTTGTTGTGACCAGATGACAACTCTGAAATCAATGTTTATCACTGCATGTCAGTGATGATGAATGAAAGCATATTACTGAGCACTACCGAGGAGGACATAATGTAGAGCTATAGAAACGTGATTGACAAATCAATCGAAAAATCATACGGACAAAGACGCCTGGTTAGACTGTGATTGAATCTTTGCCGAATAGAAGGGTCAGATTCGAAATTCCACTTAATTTTCTGTATCCCCTCTAGCGAGTGTAGAACTCGATTTAAACCTTGTCAGGTTTCCTAGCATTTATTTCAACTTGGGGATATCCTATTGGGGATGTCTGGCGTGGTATTTTTGCTATTTCACTTGTCATCTTCAAGAGCTCTCCGTATTTTCATTGTTGTAAGATCTTAGTTATTGGCTGTAGAACCTTCTTTATGCGCTCCTCAACTGCGAGCCATCTTTATCAATGGTTGTGTTGTTGGTGAAAAAGAAATAAATTTCAACTCACTCTGGGCTCTTTGACCAGAGACTTAAAGCGTTTTTGAAACGAGTGGATTTGGCTTAGACTTTGGTTTCGCTGGTTCCAGCCATTTTGGAGCAGCATTTGAAACCACATGTTCAAGCTCTGACTAAAACCAGCAAAACCGAAGTCTAAGCCGAATCCACTCATTTCCAAAATGCCCCTCTGCTTCACTCTCGCTGTCTCGGTTGCAGTTGGAGAAGGCCGGTTGGAGTATACCAGACGTGGACCTGTTTGAGCTGAACGAGGCTTTTGCTGCTCAGTCTCTGGCTGTGGTCAAGGAGCTAGGATTGGATCCCGCTAAGGTGAGGTTTAGTTTGCATCAAAGGTTGGGAGGTCTACCCCCCCAAAAAAAACATGTCTTGCCTCCTCCTGAAGCCTCCCTCTCACCAGCGAAGAGAGACACTGGCTAGAAACAATCTCATCAGACACACGGTGACCACAGGAACATGTTGGTTCCGAAAAAAAAATGGCTGCATTAGAAAATCATACGGAGTGTCGCTCTGACGGTGGGACTGGTAAAAAAATTATGGTACTGAGTACTCCGCACTAAAATTTTGTAAAAATCGCTCAGACAGAGAAAAATATTTGTTTGGGGAAATTTAAAATTCAGCGAACTGAACCACTTTATGTAAAACGTTTGCGGTAACACCGTGCAAGGGTAACTCTTTTGTTGTTTTGTTTTAATGGTGCTTCCAGCTACTCAAGCTATATGTGTGCCAGTAATTATACCTCATAACCTTTATTAATCAGCTTCACATTACAGAGTTAGGAAGAAGGCCCAGTTTTAGAGGTAGGAAGAAACTGGAGTACCCGGACAAAACCTGCAAGAGCGAATATGGACTGGAAGTAACTCTTTGTATGCGTGGTTCTGAAAAGAACCAAAGGGTACTCAATGTTTCGGACAATACACTCTGTCCATTGCCAGGAGACTGCAGCCAATCAATGTAGTCTCCTGACGATGGACAGCTTACTGTCCAAAACATTGGATACCCACACATACAATAGAGATATCCTCGTACGGTGCTACCGCACACCTTTTATTTAAGTTGCTACCTTCACCATTGAAACCTTCAAAGCCGATCTGAACCACGTTTAATTTCTTCACCCGCAGGTGAACGTTAATGGCGGAGCTATTGCCTTGGGCCACCCCATCGGAGCCTCGGGCGCACGCATACTGGTGACACTCCTGCACGCGCTCAGACAGACTGGCGGGAAGAAAGGCGTGGCTGCACTGTGCATCGGAGGCGGAATGGGCATCGCACTGTGCGTAGAGTTATAAACAAATTCTGGCTTTGGAAAATACTGTACTAGGAAATGTTTTTTGATTACACAGTATAACTAACTTAACAATAATAAGTATGACAGCAGGGAATTCATTGAAGAGAAAATTGGAGGGCAAGTGGTTGCTCATCTCATTCAGAGGACTTTATGATTTTTTTGGATTGGATAGTTGTTGTGGGATATGTCTGTACAGGATTTTTTTTGAAAATGTTCAATGGAATATTTGACTTAATGATTACTAAATGTAATTCATAAATACCTCAGCCTCGTCTCCCTATTCAACAACGCGCAACTTGACTGTGCATTAACACTTGATAATGCCTGCTAAGAAAAGTGATTATGCCCGCTGCGTTAATCACCTGGATACGAGAGAGTTTAATTGATTCTGATGGGTCAACAGTGTGTTCACATGGTTCGACACGCGTGCGCCAAGTCCATAAAAGGACATTCTATCGGGCAACTTACAAAAGGAATATACCATAAAATGGTCAGGGGTGTTCAGAAAATGAAAGTAAAATTCTAGAACAAAATCGTTGGAAATCCATCATATATTGACTTCTTTTGTCTCGGACTAAAAAGGGATTTATGAATGGGAATAAATATGTGCTCTGGAAAATGAACGCTGATAATGTCCTCGCCTACAGCTTGGGCATCAGTCGCGTCCAAATTCATGTTTAAGACCGGCCAAAGCACATATTCATTCCCTTCATTTGTGCAGGTAAAGGTTTTAGTCTAGCTTAAATGGAGGTGTAAAAAAAATTGACACAAGAAATTGGCTTGTATTTTTGCCCGCATTTTGCCCACATTCTAAAAGCCACGTTCTGTGACTGATGGGGGTGGGGTGCTTACCCTTGGCATGTTTTCTTCGAGTTAATTACATGTACCATACTTGTCCATCCAATTTCCTGCAGGTTTTTTTTTATCCCTAACCCTCCTCAATCCTTCACCTGTTGGAGGACTGAGGAGGGTTAGGGTTAATGATGCCAAAATCTGAAATGTGAAAGTGGCGAGGCCAGCCGGAGTGCATTATTTCACAACAGAGTAATCTTTGCTTTTCATTCATTCATTGACAATTAAATGACTAACTACAGTCGCATCTCGTTAATGAGAGGCCCTTCAGACTTGGGGAAATTACCTTGTTATAACAGGAACCTTGTATTATCAGGAATTAAAACAATGAAAAACAAGCGATTTGGGATCTAAAAATGTCCTTGTTATAAGCAAAATTGTGTAGTAAAGGTGCTCCTAGTCACAAGGTTCGACTGTAGTTGTTGAGAGAACTCACATGAAATAAGCCACTTGCGAGTTAAATTTGAATAAAATCTGGTACACTGTGCTATCCGATTGAATAGAAACGTAACAATTTGAATTTCCCAGACTAAAGACACTGTTGCTATACCTCGTGATTCGGGGCAAGCTTTTGCATAGCGACCACCATCTCTGAAATGGACAGGTTCCTTTGTGCCGTTCCTATCCATTGAAAACAGAGTACTGTTGGAAGGCGTCTCTTATGTAACTAAGCAAAAGCTTGCCCCAAATCACGAGGTATAGCAACAGTGGTTTTAGTATGGAGAATTCAAGTTGTCAAGTTCACGTGAATTTAAAGAACTCAGTGTACCAGATTTTATTCAAATTTAACTCACAAATGGCTTATTGGCCTGGTCTTAGTGTTACACATTATGAAGATTTTGGCAAGTGTACTCTTGCTGTTTATGCACAGGTTATATAAGTAGACAAGCACAGTGCACGAACAGTAACCTTTTTCAGTTCGAAACAATGTCACATTGCCAAATCCTGCACCCTGTTACAACTTTAGCTGTGTACTGAATTACAAACAATGGTATTGTTACATTTTGCATCGATGTAATCTTAGTACATACAGGTGCAAATATTTCATCAAGTCAGGAGTCTCTGCTGGGACCCTGCTCATGTCTTGGGCACAAATTGTGATGAACAAATAACTACCTTCCATTGAAAAAAAGAGATGTACAAATAAATTTCCGTCTGACGACATGTAAACTTACCTGCTTTATTTCTAGCAAATCGACCAACTGTCTTACATTCAACTTTATAAAAACTTGCTCCTCTGCATGGCTACACCACCAGCCAAGAGCAAGGCAAACGACAAAATAACTTTACAAAAATGACAGTGATGTTACAAGTACGTCTATTCCTAATAACTACAAACGAATCAATTCAAAAAGAAATCTGTAATTGGTACCAGTCGCTTCATCAAACTGTTTGCACTATGTTCAAGTTACATGTGCTTAGGAAGAATGCGTTGCTCCCTTGACAAAAAGAGGGTAGCCTCTTTTTCTGCATGAAAGCACAAGGGAACTTGTAACGGACAGTTTCCCATCTTTATGCGTTGGAAGCGATGGACGACACAGAGCCAATCAACGGCCACACAAAATCACCGGTTTCCTTAGAAGGCTATAACAATGGTCGTTGGCGACCACGGACAAGGTTTAGAGGCCTCGTCCATAAATGGCAGCAGACGGTGCCCTCATGGCATGATAATGTCAGAAACCGGAATAAGAAAGGGAAAAATTGTAGTTCACATGAAATCTACTACGGGCACAATTTTCAGTAAACTTTGTCACAACAGTTGACGAGGGTAACACTCTTGGGGGAATGCTAGTTAACACATGACAAAATCCCCAGTGTGTAAGTGAACAATGTTGAGAGAACTTACTGATCTGCACTGTGCAAGTTTCTTTACCAATGACCTGTCACTTGAAAGTGGCTCTGGTGACACGTGTTTAAGCTTCTCTGCTGGTTTAAAGTTGACAATTGAGCAAATGACCTGTTGCCGTCTCCCAATGAAAAGCGAACATCCCAACTCTAAAAACAAGCTCTTGTGGAATCTTACATCCGTCCCCAGCTGTCTCGTCTCAGCGGCGGGGGACCGCCGCCTCGCGTCGGCAGCGAGATGGCAATGTCCACGTAGTCCCCAATCTGGAAGGATGTCGAGGACAGTGTGAGTGCGTCGTCGGGGCCCTTCCGCCCCGAGCAGGTCATGCCGATGTTGGTGAGGTGGTAGCCGGGTCGTCTGTTGTCCGGCGAGACGGTCGCAAAGCTGAAGAAGGTTCCCCTGCGTCGGGCCTCAGGGTTGACCTCCTTGACCAGGCTGGACAGCTCTTTTAGTGTTGCGTCCATCCTTTTGGGTACAAAGGGGGGATAACTTTTCTCAATCCACTTCAAGAAAGACACAATTCAAGCTAACTGATAAACAAAAATTAATCCTTTCAGTTTCTGCACACAATTGCAGTTACATTAACCCTAACCGTCCTCAATCCTTCACCTGTTGGAGGACTGAGGACTGTTAGGGTTAATGGTATACATGTTACTGGGCATGCAAGAAACTTGTGAATAATATGTCGAGACATAAAGCAACCATTGTGGATTGCCTTATGAATTATGCATAGTATATGTAGATACACCATACTTGATAGCAGCATGACCTGGACAAGCTAGCCAATTCAAAATTTTCCAGAACACCGAGAATAAAGGTCATGCGTTGTTGGTATCTCCGTGGTGACTTAGAGGCTGTTTTCGTTATTTTAATTTAGTTACATGTGTACAACCAATAGAGGTTTACTCAAGCCTGTCCCAGTGACACAAAGCTCTTGCCCTCTGAGGACGCGTGAACGTTAACCCCTATTCAGTCCATGTCAACATAGCCTTTAAAAATCAGTCACTCCGCAGAAACACGCTGAAAGAAATATCCACGTCATTGGGGAAACTACTCAGTATGAAGAATGTCGTCGACGCTCCCCTTGATGGAAGAAAAAGTAAAGGAGCCTTCCACACTGAAAATTGCATTTGGGACATTAAAATTGACATGACTTGACTGCACACATGATGGTGGGGCCCAGGATCCTGAGGTGGTCCAGCATCTGGCCTCACCCTGTTTGATAGGGTCTCTACCTTACCAGGTGTATATCTGCAGCTCATTTGGTGGTACTCTCCCACGGTCAAATTCCTCCACTCTGTGGTGACGACCCGAGTTGCAGAACACTCTCAGCAGCAGGGGGCATGTCTGATGAAAGACAATTGAACAACTTTATGTTTAAAGCCTGGTTTCCATATCAACGTAAGAAACACAGCGACACAATCAAGAGGCAAACTACGACACAGACATGAGGAAACATGCCAATCAGAGCTGTCACAACACAACCACATCCCAGCCCCCATACATGTACACTCTGCAAAGTTGAGCTCTCGTTTAGTTCATGAATTTTGCCCATTTTCTCTTTAAATATTACGCCCTTATGATCAACTAAATAGCTGACCATCAGTGAAATGTATGAGACTGGAAGACAGGTTTGGCATCATGAGAGGGTACAATCAAATCAACCTACATGTAAAAGGGTATTTTCCATTAAAAATCATGGAGTTTCAGACGTCATTTTGTTTCAATTTTTGGGTGGAATGATGTCATGCACTGTATTTTCCGTTCGTGTCTGCGTCTTCACGTCTAGCGGACCATCTGCGCTACAAACGACAGTATGGAAGTCTGGCTTAAGAATCAGCCACAGCGAAGTAAATCGAGCTGTGACTTATGACCATGGCACCAATTTTCCTTGCCAAATTTCATTAGGTTGTGCATAGTTTAAAACTGTGCAGATAGCGTTGAGCGCGATCTTTAAATGTGCGCACTTTTTGTGCCTCAAACTTTGCGATTCTTAAAGGGAGTCAAAATGGTTAAACGTCCACCGGCTTCTGGGGATGCTGGGATATAGACTGGTTCCAATTCCCTCACAAGTCACTGGCTGTCTCAATTGTTGGGATGGGTACCAGTCATGCAGTTGTTCGGGGGCCTTTTCAAAATCCATATTTTTTCCCGATTGTTATTTGTTTTGTCTAGGATCCTATTTTCATTAGAGATTCTTTTTTTCGCTAATGATTGGCTCTGAGGATTTTTTTAGAGGAGGTAAAGTCCGAATTAAATATCAACGGGGGAATCTAATAAGGCTTAGCTCTCAATATTCGTCAAAAATCTCAAAAACTAACTGGCAAACTGCGTCAGACATGGCACAGCCGACTTGCGAGCAACTGTGCCGCGTAAGTACGTATATTACTACGCTTTACATGCAGCATAAATCACACAGACATTTCGAAAACAGAACCGAAGATGGACCCAATGCTTAAATTTTGTGCCAAACTTGCGTAGTTGATGTCAGTCTTTAATATGTACATGTATGACTGTTGCCATTGATTTATATTCCAGAAAATTTTTATAGCTGTGCGCAAATCAAAGGGCAACAACTGTTGTGCAAAATTACAAGCTGCGCACGGCATTTCAACATATGGCACTTCCGTCATTGAATTTTGTAGTGCTTAACCTATTATATTATTGGCAAAAAGTGAGGTTCTTTCTACAATCCTTTATACCTCACGTCCCTCGACAATCCGCACACATCCATAGCACCTTCTCACATCTGTGGCCGTAGGCCACGTGACAAAAACAGGCGCAACGAATGTTTTTGTTGGTTTGGATACCAGTCCCCATAATTCCGACTACTCCTGCTAAGATTATGAATAGAGACGTCTGGGAAATCTTTTGTCAGGGAACCACATATATCACTTATTGGGTCGATAGGTTAAGCACTACAAAATTTAATGACGGAAGTTCCACATATTAGCTATGATTAGTATTGTCTTTAGGGGAAGATCTGCTCAAGCAAGTGCAAACAGATGTGTTATCTGGTGTTCTAACTGGGCGGCTTTCAAAATGCCATTGCGTGCGGAACCATAAAAAAAGATCGCTTCAGTAAGGTCTACGGAGTAGTACCTTACCGTTCGGGAAGGAGAGACTTTACTGTCAGTGCCCCATTTCCACTTAGCCCCATTTCCACTTTGCCCCGTCGGTGTTCAAATGGGCTACTAGCCTTTTCAAACAGGCTATTAGGGTAATTCCAGAAATTAGGGGATGGTAAATTTGGGGACTCTTCTCCTATAATAAAAGGGAGAGTTCCATTTTAACTTTTGAATTGACATTGGTAGATGACTGTAATATGCTTAATAAATGTTGTGTTAATGTTGTCAAAAAGGGTAGGGTTTTGGGTTTTGAGGGGAAACTGCAAGTGTTTTAACACATGACATATGGTGAATTCAAATTTGCATGGTTAGTTTATCAGTAAAAAGTCACATTTTCTCACAATTTACAATTTGAAATTTCCAAAAAATAGGGTCAGCCCAATGCATTAATGAAGAGAGTATTGCCTTTCTTTTTTGGGGGACTTACCAGTTTTAAAAGATTAAAAGTCAAAAAAATGGGGGATCGCCAAGTATACAATCCCCAGAAATTGGGGGGTCCATTTTTTCATGTCCCTGTTACCGTGATAATCATGCTATTCAGGCCTAGCCCCACTGGTGTGGCACGGACTCTCGCTACCGCTCCATCCTTAGCCATACATCCGTATACACAATTTGCGTAATTTTGCGTAAATTGCATTTACGGATGAGTGGCTAAGGATGGAGCGGGAGTGAGAGTCCGTGCCACACTAGTGTGGTAGTGGGGCTAATTCAGGCCTAACAATAGTAACATTTGCCTCAAGTTGTTTGAATCGGAACCTTTGACTTGGCCGGCTACACAAACCCTCAACATTTGATTTGTTTCATAAGCCTCTCTTATGGCTAAAAGAAAAGAATGAACGATAGTAAACTCAGTGGGCGAAGTGCAAGTGAAAATGGGGCGAAGTGACCAACACCCGTCAAGACGTGCAAGAAGAGACGTTGACATGACGACTGCATCCACATTACAATTTTAAATGGAATGCACGGTCAATCAAAACGAAAATCATACACTTTAAATGCAAAGACTTTCAATAAACAATCAACAGCCATTAAATATTCTACGGTTAATCACCTTTTCCCGGTCGACCGGCTTTTCAACAGGTTTGTTCTCTACTTCTGTCACGCGTGATCCGATGAAGGACGCCATTATGTGCAAATTCTTACAATGCTGAGATGAGGGCGCCCTTCCAAATTCTCAGATGTTTTGGTCTGGTTATGGAGAGCCAGTTCCAACAAAAAAGATGAACTGCATTGAATGATCGTTTTCGATCTGCGTCTCTCTTCCATCCACTTCGAAATTGTACAAACCAATAACCACACAACCCACGAGCCTTTCTGTCAACTAAATGACTAGCAGCACATCAGAAAATCTCTACTAGAGTTTTTCATTTCCCAGCTTGGAAACAAGCAAATAGAATTATTTTAATATTTTTTGCAAAAATTATCTTTCCCATTAACTAGCCTGCAGTTTTCAAAGTGAGAAAAAAAAATTTCCAGCGTACGTGCGGATCAAGGGGGGGGGGGAATCCCTACTCTGACACCCCCAAAAAGGAAGTGTCTTAATAAAAACATGACATCATAAAAGGTAAGTCCATGCACATCAGTATCACTGTAATGCATCACCTGTGGGCGTATTCAAAACCCCGTTTTCCTGGGACTCAGGAAAAGTGTTCTCAGGTTGTTGATTACGAACTCCGGAGTGCAGCTACACTACGCCATTTTAACACTAAATGAAAAGATAACATGATATTCACAATCTTGCAATAACTGAAATCCCAAAATATCCAGATATAATGGGTAAATTTTCTCCTACAGCTATGCAAAGAAGCCTTCGGTAACAGTCTCCTGATTGTGAGTGCTTTCTAATTATGCAACAAAGTTAACGTCAAGTTGCTGTATGTGCGTGTGTCCACCATCTTTGCTCTTGACGTTCTCCATCCACTCCCCGGTCAGTGTGGAGTGAGAACGTTGTTCGCGTGTCGTTTCTCGTCATTCGGAATTCCATTCTTGTGTTGGTCCGAAATGAGAACAGGGTTTTGAATATGTCCTTTATGTTTGCCTCTCTGTTACAACTGGGCAGGAAAATATTTGACAGGCCTGAACCCCCCCTAAAATCCCTGGATCCGCCCCTGCAGAGGTTAATGAAAGTCATCCTCTTTACACATAAAATTGGCTCTAATTTCCAAAATAAAATATTAGTTTGTTTTCTTCTTCTAGAATTATTTACAATGAAATGATGAATTTATTCACAGCTAAATGATCTAAGATACCGAACATACCAGAAATTACATATTTAATTTACAACATCACAACACAGATATCCCATCAATTTGGAGAATAGCGGCAAATTCCACCATTTTTCTTTCAACGACTCCTTGCCAGAGTCACTTTTGAGACGAAAGTCTTTGAAAGAGTCATCCATAACAGCAATCAAAAGGAATTCTAAATTCTGCCACCGAGATATTGTCCACTTTCGACAGGATGCCAAACTGTGTGATAAATGGAGACAAAGAGCTCATTTACCTCTTCAAAAATAGCAAACAAACCATTGCAGAAAAAAATCACCTTATGACTCATTTTGGGGAATCCTGTCATGTCAGAGAATTTCAAATACAATGGTAGGTATATATACAAGGACACAGCCTCCTGGTGAACTCCATCCAGATCTTTCATATCTTACAAGACATCTTTAACATTCTGAAATCAGATCCAATAGCCTTTATCCTTACGGGAAAAGCGTAAACACAAGACATCACATACTGTGGACAACTGTTACTCAACTAGCATACATCTTGACACGTATTAAATATATCAATAACTATACCATATAAAGATTCTTCCTATTGACTTTCTGCAGGGTGTATATCAGTAACTATACCATATACAGATTCCGCCTATTGACTTTCTGCAGGGTGTAAATCCATTCAGTGGTTCATAGAGGTGCCCGACTTTACTTGTGCACCCAGGATATTTTTTCAGTATGCCACTAGTCGCACAAGGCTATACAAATGTCTCATTTGGTTCAACTTGGAGCGTCAACTTACAAGACTGCTTCTTGATTTGTTAAAAGCTACTTCTTCATCATAACAACAAAATAAATACTTTTTTTTCCCTAGATGTTAGAAAAGAAGAAGAGAAATACTGGCTGATGGGAACCAACTATGTACATGCATGCTGATGAAATGTTGACCTTTGATACGACAGTTGAATATTCACGGTGTGGTGATATCTAGCAACGAGGAATTGTGATTAAGCACTGTGCAGGATGTCAGTAGGTAAATTCTTAGGCACACATGAGAGACATAGATGAAGATGGCCCCAAATTTACTGTCGTCCGTCCACTATGTTTTGCCAAAGGCATTCTACAAAGCATGCACTGCAGAAATTTATTCGAGGTTAGGTTTTGTTTTGTACAAATTTGGTTTCCTTTTCTTATTTTTTTCAAAATAATGCTTAGACCAACTCCAGTGAGTTATGTCATTCAGCGTGGGCATAACAATTGTTAACGTACTGTTATACAAAATGACAATGGAGGTACTTCATCAAATAAAAACAAATGCATGAGCACCAACCCTAGTGCAACACACGCTCTTTAGGAAAATGCAGTCCCAACTTCTGCATAAGATTTGGGCAATGGTCCTGCGCCTTTGCGCCCTTTCTATGAGCCGGTGTGGAAAAATCACTGCATTTTCATTCTTTTTACAAAAAAACCTCACTCTCTTGGCATCTGCGTTTACTGATTCCTGAGTTGCTGTAGTCGCTGTGACAGCTCGTCTTGCTCCATGGAGGCTGCGCTGGCTCCAGCGAGGGCCGTGGTCTGCCCGGACGGCAACTCCATATTCAAATCCAAGCTGAAAAAGAGAACAGAGAAAAACACGACGACGCTCATGAAATTTTGATTTGATGTGATGTGCTTTTTTTCTCTTAAAAAGAAGCTGGGTGTACAAAAATTGACCTTGTGACCCCAGTTTGGCTAAAAAACCTTGAGCCGTTACTATCTTTCAAAGAGAAAAAGCCTGCTATGTAAAAACGTCCAATAGGCTGACTATCCCTAGACCAAAGACAATCCTACCCTGCCAACTACCAAGAGGGTCTAATAGTGAGATGGTTGAACGGAACAAGCTCTCTTTCAAACACTGCTTATACTGACTGCCAACTGTACCAAGGTCTAACAGGTTGTCACATCTGCTGTGTTAGTTTCTAGAGCAGCCTCATTGAATCTCATCAGTCTATTTGTGGATCTTCAAACAGCTTGAGGGGTAAAGTAAACTGTGGACAGCATTCTCCTGACTATGTGTCTGCTGGGACTGATTCCAGCACTGACTCGAACGAGCCGTGCCTACTCAAGCCAACCATTTGTCTTTCAAACTTGTGTTTTAGCAACAAAGGTTCCCCAGCACGGTGTTCAAATTGAAACCTCTCAAACAAGGGAGAGTAATTACCCAGCTTCGTCGGCCACCTCTTGCATCAGATTGTCCACTTGAGCCACGGGGACATTGAGGGTCGTGGTTCCAGCCATGGCTTGGTCCATCACCTCACTCTGGACGTCCAGGGTCTCAAACTGCTTCTCAAACTGGTCCATGATGCGCATCACCTGTGGATTGCCACAAATGAAATGAGAGTTAATATCCAGGTAGTAAACTTCAACAACCTCAGCCATGCAACACATTTCTGTTGTGCTCAAGAGATGCTAAAAATACCATGAACTGCACCGTTCTGTAAGCACACTTTCAGTGCGCATCATAAAATGTATAGGAGTAAAACAGGGTAACTGGGTGCATGTACAGAACAGACAAAAAAACGAAACAAACCTATGGAAAGGTGTCCAAGACATGTTTAAACATGAAAACAAGGGTACAGAATATATAAAAACAATTCAACACTTGTCCAAATGAGCAATGAATCTTGCCAACTTTCCGTCTCATACTTCTCTCTAAGAAAAATCTCCCAAAGAATTTCCGTTGAGATGGCTGGCTACTGCAGCACGTTGCCATCTGTGTTCGTGATTTATTTTTGTAACACGATTCTATGCACATCTAAGCATGATCTTCTGGAGCGAAAAATGTAAATTTTTGCATACATAAATCTGCAATGTACAAATGTGATAAGAAATATTCACTGCTAAAATACAGAAAAGTGAAACAATGGTATGATGCCTCCACCAAACATTCGATTCACGCTTGAGAGATCTTGGGTACCTTCTCCAGGTTCATCGACTTCAAAGCTGCGTTCATGGATTTCACCACGCCTCCCATGGACTTGGTCACTTGCTGCGTGGTGACCGCCGTCTGGACGCGCTGGGCCACGGCGTCGATCCTGGATGACATGCGCATGAAGTTGAGGTTCTGGTTCTTCTGTCGGATGGCATTTTCTGCGTGGATGCGAGCACCTTCCATGTTGCCCTTCTGAATGGCCTATTGCAACAGGGGAATAAAATAAGCCTTTTCGTCTGAATGCGTTCCGTGGCGTAATTCTAAAACCCTCAGCGCAAGTCATTGTAAGACGGGTGTTTTGCCACCGTACTGCAAAACGCAACGCGATCCACTTCTGTACTGTTGAGTTGCCCTCTGTTGAAATTGGCAGGGTCGTTATTGCAATAGTGATAACGTCTGTGGCATTTAGCAAGGTGCGTCTGAAACACCTGATAATGCCTAGGGTTTACAGTTCCAACCAAATGAATGCAGCTAACGAGCATCTGCTCTACAAATCTGAGAGAAACAGAAGTCCTTCCTTTGATACAAATTTATTTTCAAGTAAACCCCTTTGTGTTTGCCTTCACAAGTACTACACTGACTTCATTCTGGGGCCCACTGCTGCCAAACGAGGCTCTCGATTCCGTCTGTTAACGGAGACGTCAGTGGTACACGCGCACTTTCTCCAGCCACATTACATCCCTCTAAGTTCTCTCCGGGACACACCCACCTTCTTCAATTTGCCCTTCTCTGCTTTCTCTTCTTTCTCGCATTTCTTGGCATTGCGGTCCATTTGCTTGGCAGCGAACTTCAACTGAAAGAGATTTTCTGGAGGAGGGGAAACTAGTTAAGAAAAGCATGGCTCAAGCGACGGGCGACAAATCGGGCATCTAGTCCCCAGAGTCAAATTTACTTATCCTCCTTTGG